CTGGCAGGTGCCTAATGGACATTTACGTAAACGACTAGGACAAGCCACGTCTGGGACGTCAGGCTGTGAGCTTCTCAGTGACACTGATGAGGATGACCGGTGTTAGGGGTGTGTAGAAGATTCTGTGTCACTGTACGGGGTGGATTGATGCCTCTGGACTTTGTGCCTCAATCTAAGGAAAAATATGCCTGTGTGTTTATTTGTGTATCTGTGAATGTGGAGTCTGATCAGAGTTGTGTAATCCTCTCAGAAGAACCGTACTAAAGATCTGAAGATCACAGCCTGCTTGTGGTTAAATGGAAACATTCTGAAATGATCAGCAGTCCTAGCATGAGCACACTGAGGTTAAAGATCAGGTTTGTGCCCTTACACTTTCTCTGGACCCACCTCGCAGATCAAGCACAGGCTAATGCAGATGAATCCAAACTCGTCATTAGGATTCGGGCCATGCCCGAACGCACTCAGGTTTCCAAACCTGCCTAAACATTTTGAGACGTCCCATCAGCAGAATACCTGTATAATGCCGATAAGGACAGCGTGTTCAAACACAGCGTTTACATAGTCCTTTCCCAGCATGGTATACAGCAACATACATGTGGATGCCACTTCTTTTTCATTTTAGAGGCTGATGGGCAGAGAACAGATGCGTAACCAGGGCTTTGACATCCTGATTGTTCTGCTACCTGTGTCATTGGTTCATTTAAGAGGTACACACACACATACATTCCAGTACACACACTCAGAACGCATGCAGTGATGTTCAGTCTGTCCATGACGAGAGGTAAATACCCCTTTAACTACACATCGTAATAATGACTGACATTCCGTGAAGGTAACAGGGACTTGAAGGACCTGATGAATTGTGCATGACGTTTAATGCAAGTGGATCCAGGTGACATCCTGGCCTTTAACAATAGAGTCTATATGGAGGACTCGTGTACCAAATGTAAATATTACAAATCCGGTATATGTACTGCAAAGTCTTCAAGCCATGTTTTCTGTAAAGAACCTAAATTGTCTTAAAGATGTTATCTTTTGTGACATGATGACCAATCCATGTCCTTTATACTTGTAATGCAAACTATTTGAAATGGACATGGTTCACACTCTCCAAGTTATGTTTGATTAGACTTATCATTTCATTCTTAACCAGCTGATTTATCTTGGCCCTTAAGAAATCTGTTAAAAGTCTCTCTTTGGGTGAATCTCACAAAGCCTGACTGGGTCATTATTTCACCCCAAAACCAAGAGGAAAAAAATAAGCAATTATATTTTGCATATAATCCCTATTTTAATACCATTACGAATATTTGCATTGTAACATATCATGTTGTGTACAATAAAAAAGTAAAATGGGTTGCTTCAAAATGCAAAAACATATTTAGTTGTGAAGTATTTATGTTGTAAAATCTTATGAGAATAATATCATCAATTATTAAACTGTAAAACAAATTAATGATAATTTGGAGGAAAATTGTCATGAAAATAAATATCAATGCAAATAATCTTAATTGTACAAAAATAGGTTTCCTTGCTTCCTATGCAAATTATCATTTAAAAAAAAAAAAAAATGTTGGGTATAATATGACCTGAACATGTTTTAGTGTGATTCACCCCTCAAGCACTATTAATAGAATGGGAAAGCAATTGCAATGAGCGTTTGTTGCCTTTGGGTTCATTTGTAATGTTTACTGTGAATTTCCGTTTATAGTTTGGCTTAGAAACTGAATGAGTCCTGTAGTTTAAATTGATGGCAAGCATCAATTCCCTCTTACGTGCTTGGCCTAGCAGAAATGCTGCTCTTATGAATGCATTTGTAGAAATTCAAAATGTACGTTTAGCCCGAATGTGGGTGAGTTGCGATTGAAATGTAGCTGTAGGAAACGGGCATAACGTGTAAAATTATTCATTAGAGTATTGTAGCGGAAATATGGAACAATTGTATTGGTGACCCAACATGCCAGTTCAGACCGGCCTCCTCTCTCAATTCCCCTCAAAAACTGCAAAAAGAAAAAAAGCAAAGATTATTACATAGCACTTTTATTTCAAAAATACATCTTTGGTTAGTTTCTGTATATCCAGCATCTTAATAAATAAAAAAAACATTTTAAGATCAGTTGCCCCTCAAGAGAATTTCTGTACCATGTGTTGTGTTGTAATTTGTTTTCTTGACATGTTCCTGAATGTGAATAGAGAGTATTTGATACTTGTTCTACCTGACCTACTGGGGGTCGCTGCCTTGTGAATTATATGAAATAAAAAAAATACCCGTTGCAGCAGAGTCTCTTCTTCCTAAATCTCGATGTTCTGTGTGGTTTGTTTAACAGTTTGTATATGATGCTATGTCATGTGTCAGTGGTTAGAGTTGATTCTGTGCTCTAGCATATTGCTCTAAGGGTGTTGAAAACTATTTCTTCTTTATAGCTCTATTGGCAGTGTCGGGTTTATTTATAAACTCAATTTCAAACTGTGAGATTCTCTATAGCGCTTCAGCAGCGTGTTGTGGATGATGATTTACTGCTGCTGTCTATATTTGGCCTGTCCCACTTTCGTGGAAGCCCAACCATCTGTTTTTCTGTAGAAACAAAAAGTGAGAATGCCCACGACGTGCAAAATATATAGTCTTAGACTGTAAGGATAATTTTAGAAACATTTCTGAGGAAAAAGATACCAGTGATCCCACGATAGATAGATAGATAGATAGATAGATAGATAGATAGATAGATAGATAGATAGATAGATAGATAGATAGATAGATAGATAGATAGATAGATAGATAGATAGATAGATAGATAGATAGATAGATAGCTATAGACAGACCTCAGTTTCTTTACGACATGAATGATCCTGTCCCACTGCAATAGTACATTAAAACAGCCTTGACTCTAAACTGTTACTGACCCAACTGACCCCCCTGTTTGTGGGTGGAGAAAGACTGATGAAATATTGTACCAGGGTTTGACAAGAGTCCATATAGAGATATCTCACTAGCAGGTGAAGCGTTCTGCCTTTGATGCTCATGGATGAGTGAAGCCAAGAACGCTATATAGAGCTGAACCTGTTCCAGGTGCTGCCAATCTGTCTGTTACATCAGGTCAGCATATGAGGGAGCTGAGGCGAGACAGACCATCTGCTGATAAAATCACTAAACCAATACATACACGCACATGTCTGTTTGTTTGTATATAGGAGCTGTCACATTTTAAGAAGGGACAACATCATGATAAACACATTTCTTTTTGCCAGAGAAGCAGTCAAAAATCCATAAATATCAGCATTGGAAGAAGGCTACTCTCATGCTTCACTGTCACTTTGTGTAATGAGTCTTTCTAAACAATATCCTTGGTGATGGATGACCTATGAATTAAATGATGTGTATTTTTATTTACAGATATTACGGTCTATTAATTTTTTGTAATTGAATATGAAAATTCTATTTGTTTGGATTTGACATGAAAGTTAGACTTTCTTTCCCAGTGACTTTCTTTTACTGAATGTACTTTTCAGTTCTGTGGTAAACCTAACATTAGTATGTGAGCTGAAGCTGGGTAGGGAAAGCATCGCTCTGTGTATTTAACAGGAGTACTTTGATTCATCACAGATCTAAAAGTGATCTTCTGTACTGACGCAGACTGATGAAATGCCTCTGCTATATTTAGGGAGAGGTAATATTTGTAATAATCGGTTGCGCACAACCCCAATTATGTTTTTCTTATGTGCATTGGAATTTTGTGTGTGTGTGTGTTGTGTAAGTGTGAACCAGGTTCTCTGACGAGGGGTAACAGTTTATCTATCCGGAGGAGTTTGAGAAGTACAGGTGCAGCTTACTTTCATCACCACCTGGATCTGTTGATACATATGAGACATAAAGACAAACTACCAAAGTAAATATTTTTATCTCTATTATTGTTCATTATCATTATAATTCATTCCAGACTAGAATTTTTGTATCTCATAATTCATTGCACCAATGTACCACTGTTATAGACATGCACATGTGAAAGACAGATAATGATGGATCCAGTATTTTATTTGATTTATTTTATAAATGCTGTATCCCATAATAATAGCACCAATTTATCAACATAGTAACATTGGTATGGGCATACATGTGTAAACAACAGATAATAAAGGCTAGAGTATTTAAATTTGTATAATATTTTTGTTTTTATACTTTTATTATATGTTTCTACTGTGATGGGTTTTTTTTTACAACCACTTAAATTCACATTTGCATTCTAGTGTTCATTAAAAGGATATTTCCACTGCAAATCCTCTCAGTGTGGGGTTAATTTGACACAACATTTGCAACAGTTATATTGACTAGAATGTGTGATGATATGAAATGCAGGCTAACCACCAGCTCTACAATTCTCTAGAGATATAAAATTGGTCTTGAACCACATATTTGTGTTCATATTTTCAGTGGTGTTGCATTTGGACAGGACCTGACTGATTAATACTGAGTAGAGAATGTCTAGACCAATCATACCGCTGAGAGGAGCCAAACCGCCATGCCTCACACCCTTTACCGTAAGTTAGACACTTCTATAAACACCTTGTCACATTCCTCACTGGGATCATATAGTGTGAATAGAACAGACACGCACAAATATGCTTAGGAAAAAGAACTATAGTGATGATTCATTGCGCACTGTGGAGATCAAATATTAGTTGCATGCTTTAGATCCAACAGAACTAAACAATAAATCACTAAGATCATTATAAGGCACTGGTGAATAAACAGTACGTTTTAACAAAGGATCTGCAATCTAATGCTCATCAATGTGGCATTTGATCTGTTATTGATCCTGTTAAAAGATCCTGTAGAGAAGTGCTTCAGGACCCAGGGTTTATGTTGTGGTGGTGACCCTTCCTTACTATTGGTTCATGTGGGAGGTGTTATGATCCCTCTTCATCAGGGGCATAGTTAGGGTCTCCTCCAGTTTCTGTAGTGGGATCTACATCGCTTATGCATTAAGCTGTGCCATGGAGTGAGTGTGTATGGCACAGCCCATCTCTGGCATTTCTCCAGGTCCAGGTCTGTTTTAGTGCTGTCCAGGGGTCAAAAACTGACCATACCTCCTTCTGAAGCGCTCACAGTCCGGCCTGCCTCCCCGAAGCCATGCAGGACTCCGAAACTCTGCTCAAACTTCTCTACTGCGTAGTAAGTGTTTCTTCCTATCCTCTTATCCACAGCAAATGCTTGAAAGTAAATTTACATTTATTCGTTTAGCAGATCTTCTTTTTATTGTTTGTAGAATAGTTGTTTTATTTCTGCGTTGGCACTCAAAACCAGGCTCTTGGTCTTAGTACTTTTGTCTCAGCAAGCACAGGTGAACGAGTCTCCATCTGTATTTTGATGTGGTTTGAGCACGCTGTGCGTTCTGTGTGTTTGATCGACCCAGACCAGGCCTGAGGCCCTCGTGACAAGGACAGGAAGAGGCTTTCACAAACCAGAGCTAAACCTCCAAATCCTCTTGCTTGTCACTCTTGCTAAACAAAAAAAGGTTATAAAAAAATTTCTGGTCTAATCCATGGGTGCTTTTGGAAAATATTTTATAATAATGTATTCATAGTGGCCAAAACTGATGTCTGATTAAACCAAAATGTTCAATACTTTCAATATGAGGGAAGAACAAAACACTTACTCGGTTAAGGTATTGATCTGACAACAATTAATTGGCAAAAAAGTCACACTACAGCTACAGGTTTTATTTTATTGTGCAAAAATAATTCATGGAAAAACAAAAAGCTCACAGGAAAAAGCATATATTGACTACGACAAAATCAATGAATATTTTGTTGGTTCTCTATTGTTTTTGCATTTGTTCATAATTTCTTTGTATGACAGCATGGCCAAAAATCTCATTGCATCACAAATTAAACAATTGACTCTAAGCACGACTACGCAATATGCTTACAAAATCTTTGATGTCAAGATGTCAATTCTCCTTGGCCAGACATCACAACTGGCCACTACTGTTTTTTTTGGTTTTTTTTAAAGAAAACTTTTAATTAGCGTGGACGCTGAAGTCATTTATTTCAAATAAATGCTTCTTTTGAATTTTCTTTTCATAAAAAAAAAAAAGAAATCCTGAAAATAAATTATCACCGTTTTCACAAAAATATTAAACTGTCTTCAACATCAATAATAAGAAATGTTTCTTGAGCATCAAATCATCATATTTTCATGATTTCTGAAGGATCATGTGACACTGAAGACTGGAGCAATGATGCTGAAAATTCAGCTGTCATCACGGGAATAAATTACATTTAAAAATTATTTAATATTAAAATAGAAAACAGCTATTTTAAATTGTAATAATATTTCACAATAGGACTGTTTGTAATGTATGTTGATCAAATAAAAGCGGCATAAGAGACTTCTTTCAAAAACATTAAACCAACCACAAACTTTTTAATGGCATATACTGTATATCTCAGTAACTATAAGGTTTTGAGCCAAAAGTTAATTTACACAAATGCAAAATAAAATGCCAGTGTCATATTTTGCTATAGCTGTTGGGTAAACAAGTTACATACAGTACATAATGTTTTAGAGTGGGATCAGTGACAATTTAATACCATATTCTATGTGAAGTGTATTGTAAGATGTACATTAACTCTGACTCATGATCTGTTAGTAATTCTGTAATATTTGGGAATGCCTTTAAATCTTTCATCTCTGTTAACCCTTTCATGCATGAATTATCTCATTCATGATATTTTTCTTGATTTTTTATCAGGGCATGAAAAAACAAGATTTAAATTTTTTTCTACACACATTTAAAAAAAAAAGATTTTCAGATGTCCAGTATGACAGTATGTGTTTTTAGTTGTAACTGAAGAGATACTGTATGAAACATACTATAATACAGTAATAACACAGTAATATTGTGTTTATTTAACAAACCAATGAATAAAAATATATAAAAAACGTGAAAACTATAAAATATATACAAAAAATATAATACAGCTTTAATTATTGAGAACACAATTGAGTTTGTTCCCATTCGACCAGCAGACGAAGAACTACACACAAATTAAATGTCATGTGTCTTTGATAATATACTGAGAATAAAGCAACTAAGTTGCATACAGTGCACTCTCTATAGTTTAATTGGTCATTGATACTTTCTTGTGTGACTGTTGCCCCTGACAACCACACAGCCCAAGTTCAATGTCGGCTGGAGCGCTAGCACAAAACAGCTAATTCTCTTTGCAATGCAAACTAGCAAGCACCAACAACACCACAGGCTGTATGAAATGAAAGTGAAGTTCAGAGAGCTCTGGAGCCCATGTGAGAAAAGCAAACAGGTTGTTAAGCAGTCAAAGGAGTGCCTTCAGCTCGATGGCCGCATGGGAGAGAGCATTCAAACACTGGGTTTATTGAGGCAGGACTTATGTTATTATTGTTTTAGCAGACAATTCCCATACTGATAGATAGATAGATAGATAGATAGATAGTAGATAGATAGATAGATAGATAGATAGATAGATAGATAGATAGATAGATAGATAGATAGATAGATAGATAGATAGATAGATAGATAGATAGATAGATAGATAGATAGATAGATAGATAGATAGATAGATAGATAGATTTATTGATTGTCAAAAGTCATTATCTGTTGACTAGAGATGGTTGTCATCCTTTACAGGGTATCATGCAGCAAGTGACCTTAGTATTGGGTGACCCCACTCAAGGTGACCTCAACTGTCCTGAACACAAATCTCACTGTGTCCAAGAGTCACAGGTAAAAACGAATCTTCATTTCCCTTTTACCTTTCTCTTCACTAACATTACCTTTGTTCTTTTTAAACGGAACAATCTCAAAGTATTTATGAAACCATGTTATTGTGTATCTTCAACACGTTCTCACTCCTAACTCATCACATATTGACGGTTGTGTAGCCGGTTACTTGACCCGCTCGGAGCGGGATTCGAACTGTGGTCTCTGGAGTGGGAAGCGGACACTCTAACAAAGAGATGCCTCTAGCATCAGTCACTAGCGCCTCTTGAGATCAGGGGAATGAGGTTTACACGCACAGCTCTTACTGGCCTATGACAGTTACACTCATCCCCCTAAACCTCACTCCCATCCGGGTCACGGCACCAAATCTAACCGGTTCTACTCAACTGCTCCGAGTGGGATTCAAACCATGGTCTCGGTGGGTGCTCTAACAAGGAGACTAAAGACCAAACCCTCTTACGTCAGCCACTAGAGCACCTCTTGAGATCAGGGGAGTGAGGTTTATAGCACAGCTCTTACTGGCTTGCATCAGTTACACTTGGTCAGGATGGGTCTTGATCTGAAGCACAAGGCAAGCGACTAAAAGCAATGATGTACCCTGCATCGAAAATGTTAAAGGGGTATCCTGTGTATTAAAAAGTGACGCCAAGGTGTCCTGAACTAGCGTCAATATGTGACGAGTTGGGAGTGAGAATGTATTGGTATCTTATATGATAAGATATAACATATTTAATCATATTTACACAGAGCACACAACACCTCTGCACTAACTCCTGATTTCTCTCAACATGGGGACAGGAGAGGTGTCAGTCAATAAATGGGAAAAACAAAGTAACTTATGTTTAATGTTTATGTTTAAAAATGTAACTCAGATATTTTAAAAGTAATGTTACTTTGCTAGTTACTCGAAAAGGTAATCTGATTACGTAACTCGCGTTACTTGTAATGCATTACCCCCAACACTGAAGATATCAATGGTACATTGTTTTATCACTGCAATAGAATCACTCCAAATCTGTTTGAAATGTCTGATGTGGCTGTTTTTCTATTATGGAGATCTGGGGGCCATGAATCAGTCGACATCACTGTGCTAACTTTATGAGCTGATAAAATTCAGTTTACTTTGGACATAAGTGTCACTCAAGAGACGCAGCGCTTTTCTGTGTATGATCACTGCAGTCTGGAAATCTCTTAGTTTCATTTAAAATCCAGACCAATATAACAGATATATTAAACATGAGTTGATTGGTGTACATAATCTATATTCTGAACCTGAACCTGAACTATATTAAAAAATGTATGTTTCTGTTCAATGCTATTTCAAGGAAAAAGACGTGGGAAAAGGAGCAAATGTTGCCATCTCTGGTTCTGCCTCTGTTGCAATGGTGGAAATTGAGGATAAAAATAAAAAAGTGAGCCAACATATGATGTCATTTCCTTCGTCACCTGATGATTTAAGTGTACCAGGGGCAATTTCAGATTCGCAGACTCTAGCAAGTGGATCTTTGGAAAGATTACCTAACCTAGAGATGGTAACATTGAGGTGCCTAGCTGATACTACATATGAAACGGAATCTGAATGGACTGAATCATCTGGTTTTTACCAAGAAAAGGCAATTGAAGGTGGGATAGACAAGAAGGAGGCTTTCATTTACTCTCTCACAGTCCAGCCCATCAAAACAACTCAATCTTTTCTTTTTCCAGAGTCCACAGGGGTGCTTGACCCTGAACGCAAGTCTCAACCTCGGACCATGAGGGCGAGAAATATTAATTCAACAGCACGTGGATACGTTCCACAATCTGAAGAGTCTTTCAAGATGAGCACTGCAGTCAAATCAGAGGTCAAAGGTCAAACCAAGAAGGAGCCCTTGCCGACAGCACAGTTATCTGTTTCAACTCTGAAGAACAGTACAGCCTTTTCAATGAACACAGCCACAAATGTCCCTCTGACTGATATTTTAGATACAGCCAATGACAAGTCACTGACAAAATCCATTGAGGATTCAATCACAAGTGGTTCACCTCAAAACCTGACCAATGTAACGGAAACCAGCACCGGCAGCACCTCTGTCAGTAAAGTAAAGTCACAGGAGAAGAATAAAGAAATCAGAGTGACTTTCAACCCTGGGGAAGCTAGTACTGCACTGAGAGAGAGAGAGCAAGAAAAGATAAAAGATACAGATGAGACTTCACAGATTAGACGTGAACAAAAAGCATCTGTGAATGGAGAATCAGAAACTGATGATTGTTATTCAGGTGCTATTGCTGCCTGTCCAGGACGTCCTACCACTGCACCAAGTACAACAACAGAGAACCACTGTAAGTAAAAAAAGAAAAAAAGAGTACTTTTTTTGAAGCTGAAGAGTACACATTTTCAATGATAATTTTTTTTCTCCTACCCTAAATTAATATGTGTGTAAGCCATTTGTTCTATATGTAGATTGCCCCAAAAAGTGTGAAGACTGTGAGCAAAGTAATTGGATATTTCAATTATTTAAACAGTTTTTTACATTTAAAATTAAATTAAATTAAATCACTGTGAAAACTGACTTTCACAAAATAAATGTAAAAAAAGAATACAATAATACATGATGAAAAAATGATAATAATATAACAGCACAGTTATTATTATTATACTATTGTTGTTATGTTTACATGTTGTTGTTATTATTATTTCTTTATTTTATTGTGCCTCTAGAAAGTTCTCCTGCACATAATTTTTTCCCTCATTATATCTGATACTTCATTTTAGAAATGATAAACAATGTCTAAGAAATGCAGAAAACCGTATATAAAAATAATGTCTCACTAATTGGCTTTTTTTTTTTGTCTAAGCCAATCAGATGCACAGAAACATACACAGAGAAGGAAGTCTAGTACGAACACTGGGTTTCAGAGGGCCAAGGGTAAGAACGGTTATCTCTCTTATAATTCATTAACATTCATCTTTACGTTCATTTTTGTCATTAAAATGAAAGGCTTTACTTGTTTTGATAGTTCAGTGCGGTTTAGATACTACTCTGAAATGCTAATGGTGTTTGCAAGTTTCAAGCTAATATACTGATAACTTCACATATCTGTTCCATTTTAAATAGAGAGAGAAATTCAGCATTTCATAGAAGGTTCAAGAAAATCATTACAATCTTACAGACATGAATAGACTCTATCTTATTTTAACCTTGAATGCAATATATGAATACAGTGAGATGGTCCTTTTCTCCTTGCTCTAATACTGTGATTCTCACCCACATGGTCATCTCAGGCCCATTGCTAGCCTTTGTCGGAAATTGAGTTTGCAGAGGCATTATTCAATTAAGTGTGGAATAGAGGAGAAGAAGGGTCATTTACCTCCACTGAATGGATCTTATGAACAAGAACTGACTCATTGTATGACATTGAGAGAGAAATATTATCCTAAAAAGAGGAACAGGATTGCAGAATGTATTTAATAATGCCAGTGCTAGGGAGGAAAAGAAAAAGAGTAGAACTGACACTATACCATTTTTGAACCATTTTAGTGTACTGTGTTAACCTGTTATTTCATGCATCTACGTTATGTAAATTCTAGAATGCTTTAGCAATGTAATCCTTTACAGGTCATTACTGACAGTAGAGAGAGAGAGAGAGAGAGAGAGAGAGAGAGAGAGAGAGAGAGAGAGAGAGAGAGAGAGAGAGAGAGAGAGTCATTAGTTGAGCACTTGCGCCCTCCTTTGGTAGACGTGTGTCTGTTTAGTACTGCGGTCTTTTGAGGTAGTAAATAACAAAATTAGCAATAAAAAAAAAAACTAAGCTCGTCAATGCTTTAATTGTTGCCATGATAATTTCTTGTATGCAAGAGGTTATTTAATTGTGTGCTTGGGCAGTTTGATATGTGATTTCGAGGGTCCATTCCAAGTGATTGCTAAGGTGTTTTGGGCCATTGGTCAGATAGTGCTAGTGCTGAGGTGTTTTCATAGATAGATAGATAGATAGATAGATAGATAGATAGATAGATAGATAGATAGATAGATAGATAGATAGATAGATAGATAGATAGATAGATAGATAGATAGATAGATAGATAGATAGATAGATAGATAGATAGATAGATAGATAGATACTGCAGATAGACAGACATTAAATATAAACATTTATATTATATTATATTATTACAATGACTTTTTTAGGGGTATCCAGGCCCACCTGGCTTACCAGGCCCTCCAGGTGAAAAAGGAGACAAAGTATGTAACCAATAATAATATTATAATCATAATATTACATAAATTGTAATCACATTTTTTAAAATAAATCTTTATTGTAAGTCAAATCGTGTCATATTCATTTTTCAGTCGAACTAATGCTTTAATGGGTGTTTGCGTGTCACTCAGGGCTACGCAGGAGTGATGGGCCGGACGGGCCGCACAGGGGACAGAGGACCGCTTGGACCCCCCGGCATGCCAGCTATCATAGTCTGGGACACGTCAGAAGAGGAGTGGCAGGTGTTCAAGGTGCAAAACAATGTTTTTGCTCATTTTAGATCATTTTAGGTTTTTCTGCCATTTAGTCTGAAAACAAAGAAACATAGCTGATTCTGAATAGTTGAAATTCAAATGCTGCCTGCATTCTTACATTCTATGAAAACACTGTGTGGTTGGATAGAGCATCTTATTTAGACGTTTCATTTTGCTTGCAGAACAAGAAATTCTACAAAAAACTACTGTCATTGTGGCCGGTAAGTTAGTCTGCGTTTGACCCCTACTAAGAGCTCTATTGAGTTACATGACCACACTGCAGATTAAAATCCCCCCCATTTTAGAGAGTGAAGGGATTACCCGGACCTTTGGGACCACTTGGAGATCCCGGACCACACGTAAGTAAAAATATAATATTTGACATTTTGACTACATATTATCTCCATGTAATGTTCACAGACTGTCAGTGAGAGACATTTTCTAACTTACTGATGACCCCCAAATATGATTATCCACATGCAATGGGACCAAATTCCTACTTTTTTACTTATTTTTTCTTTGAAATTTTTTCTGACCCCAGTGTAAAAACCTATTCATATGCTGTATGTGATATTAGGACTTTTATGAGGACTGTTTTTTTTAAGTTTATCTATCTTTTTTTAGGGCCCCCCTGGAGTTCCAGGCAAACAGGGGAGGAAGGGAGAGCGAGGGAAACCTGTAGGTATCTCTGTCTCCTCTCTTCATCACACAATCGTCTCTGGCAACAGATAAATGCTAGCTCACTGTTACATAGAGAAATATGGTGGGCACTGGGCAGCTTCATAAAAGTGTGATCAAGTCATGCGGAGACACGATACGGTTCAGAAAGAATTTGATAACCTCAATGGGTCAACAAGCATCAACAAGCATGAAGTCAACAAGAGTCACATTGTTCAGACTTCAGCTAATTTAAAAGCAAAGACTTATGTAGGCTTGTTGCCAGTCAAATCATAAGAGCAGTTTCAGTTTAATCTTTGGCATCAAGGGAAACAAATGTGACATTCCCAAGATGACATTCATCTGAACTTCTTTTGGCTGCCTCCTCATGCATGCTCACAGATTTACAAATTTAAATTATTTTAAAAGAAAAGAAAACTTTTAGTTTGAACAAGAAATACAATAACAACAAAGAAAACTGCCTTCTTTGCTGCCTTTGAAATCAGTATGTGAGATCAGTTTTGGTTCAGGTGAAAAGTTTTAATTAAGCTTCTATTTCTTAATCAAAGGTAAAGTGAATATACAGTAGCTCAGTTGAACGGTTAAATACACACACTTGTATGTGTCAAAATGCCTTTTTTTGTTGTTGCAAGTATCCTAGTAAACACAGTCATTAATGTTTTAAGTGAACGTAAACAGTTGAGAAAGGATAGAACCTTTGTGTGACAGGATTCAGCAGCTCTCTCAACTTTGGATCCGGGCAGCTCTTAAAGTGACAGCAGCCTAATTTTCCTGCTGTCATTCATGTTAATCAAACAACAAAAGTGAAAAAATCACTCACTACTCTTGACTAAATCACTTTTTGTAACTTTAATAAGGACAAATGTATATTTCATTTACACAGTGACGACCACGCAGTGTTTTTTTTATACATTTGATTACTTTATACAATTTATGTATTTATTATTTCACACTTGAAGTTTTTCAGGTAGGTCTAGTTTTGTTGTGTCTTTGTTCTATTGTAGTTATTTTTGTCATATTGCTTCTAATTAGTTTATTTGTTCTTATTTTATCACTGACTGTTTACATGTCTTCAGTAAGCTTGAGTTTTTTATTTATTTAGGCTAATTAGTTTTTTGTGATATTGACATTGGTGACAAGAATTATTAAATATCTATCAAAATAAAAAATAAAAAATTTGGTACTATATAAAAACCTTATTTAAAGCAAAAATTACTATATATATATTGTTATTGTGAAATAAATGGACTCATATCGTGATATAAGATTTTGGTTATATCGCCTACCTCTATTTGCATATGTTTAACTTAACCCGGGTTGATAAATGTGGTTAATCTTATCGGATACCTGATGAGTTTATTTGTATTTGCCTGTTATGTGATTGCTTTATTTAACAGAGTTAGGCTATATGGCACTAATGGTTCACTCTGAGTGTTTATTAGATCATTTATTTCCAGGAAGATTCCAAGTAAAAGAGCTATTGTAAAAAATAAATAAATAAAGAGCTAACATTAGATCTTGATAGAACTTGACAAATAGACGAACTAAAATTAAACATTGCAGTATCTATCAAATACTGAAGCATGTGCTATACTATGTACATCCTGCTTTTGTCTTGTACTAGGGAAGATCAGGATCTGTTGGAATGCCAGGACCACCTGGGAGATCAGGACCAGAGGGCACAGCTGGGAAGAATGGGGAGACGGGCCAACCTGGAGCACCTGGGGAGGATGTAAGACTTATGAGAATCAAAATTCTTAATATGCATCTATGCAGTGGTTTATCAAGTGGTGTTTTATGTGAAATATATTGCAAGTCTGCCTATAACTGCATAGATTTGTGTGTGTGTTTCTGTAGGGCCCAAAAGGTTATGAGGGAGAGAAGGGCAGTAAAGGGGAGCTGGGTGAGTGGGTAAGAATGACCAGGTTTTTTTTGTGGATAATACCATAGCTAGGCAGTCATGGAATCTGTGTCTGCAAAACTCCAGTAAAAACACAGTTTTCCACAGAATTGGAACTTACATCATGCATTAAACTCTCTGCCCCTTTTAAGTGGCAAATTTTTTTGACTAATTTGACTATGCTTTCTGCTACCGATAAGAGTACTCTCAATTGCTAAAAACATTTTAATCCATTCTGCAGAAGTCTGCAAATTCCATGTGCCTAGGCTTAAATCTAAACATCCAAGACCAAAATAAGAGTCCAAAACTGTCCTCTCAGTGTCTTTTTGTCATTTCTGCTATTTAAAAAAAAAACAAGTAATTGATTCCCATTATTTGACTATATATCCCTATATTTGACTTCTTTGCATTTAAAGAAAGTGTGTCTGATGTGTTCAGGGTGACCTTGGGGAACAGGGGCCTCAGGGAATCAAAGGAAAGAAAGGAGAGAAGGTAAGATGCCCCTCTTGCTATCCAGACTTTCACTAGATATGATCATAGCACTTACCAGCCAACTCTGTTTCTTTAGGGAAAAAAGGGAGAGAAGGGTCTAGCCGGGGTAATAGGATATATTGTGAGTATCAGTGTACTTCTGATTGTGTGTCATTTGTTTATAAGGCCGTTATTCTGCCTGTGTTTATACTGTATATGTACACCACCATTCAAAAGTTTGGGGTCTGTAAGATTTTTAAATGTTTTTGAAAAGTATCTCATGCTCACCAAGGCTGCATTTATTTGAGGCTGCATTTATTTCTGTTTAAATATATTTTAAAATGTAATTTATTCCTGTGATGGCAAAGCTGGATTTTCAGCATCATTACTCCAGGCTTCAGTGTCACGTGATTTGTCATAAATCAATCAATCAATGATGCTGCTCAAGAAACGCATCTTATTATTAATAATACAAGTATTAATTTATTTTAAAAACATGTTGGTGACCCCAAAAATTTTAATATATATATTACAAGGTCAAAACAGTTCTATGACATTCTTTAACAAACAATATATTTTCCATACACAGGGGCCACCTGGTCCCAGAGGACCACGGGGATTCATGGGGCCGACTGGTCCACCTGTATGTGCTAAAATATTATTTTATTTGGGTATAACATACAAATAAGATGAGCAAACTGGCTGTTTATTTTTTGTAATGATCTCTGTCACAGGGACAGACAGGGGAGCTTGGGTTCACTGGATCACCAGGATCACCAGTATGTTACAAAACTTAATTATTCTTTATCATCTCTTAATTCTTATTTGTTCATAACTCTACTTTTGACCTCTCTTTACAGGGACGTACGGGACCGAGAGGGTTGAAGGGAGTTCCGGGCGTCAACGGACCCCCTGTAAGAAGCACTATGGTTTTTACAAGCTCAAATCTAGTTCTAATTATCGGGTTCACAATAATCATGGAAAACCCATGTAAACTTGTGAATATAGTGAATATGCATTTTTATACTTTTGCTCAGCACTAAAAAATTGTATTGGCTAAATAATTCCATTTGAATGTGAATTTGGAATTTGAATATAACATAATGCTCATTCTTTTTTATAAGGGCCAGCTTGGTGATATAGGGACAAGGGGACCACCTGGCAAGCAGGTAAGTTAAAAAAATATATTTTATTTCCTAAAAAGGCACATTATAATATTTAAGATAATAACATTTCATTATGTTTTGACTAAACCACAAGTAGAGAGTCAAAAATCTCATGAAGAAATGAGTCATTATATATTACAGGGAGAGGAAGGGCCTGATGGTATTGTTGGTAGTCCTGGTGTTCCTGGACCACAGGTGCGGTGAACTATACATTTGATCTTTCTCCTTTATATTGTGTATCTATGTCCTCTCGCTTACCACACTTTCATGCACATTATTGTGCATTTAGGATCCATTTGGATATACATGCAGTTATAAATGAAGATTGTAATCATGCTAAAAATGTGGAATATGACCAAGTTCCTATATTAGAATCAAAGTGTTTAAACTCTTGTCTCTTCCTTCTCAAACTGCTACAACTTGTGTTCACCTGACTTGACTGACCACCCCACATGATCTTTTAAGGGAAAACCAGGAGATGGACATGCTGGTCAAAAAGGAGATCCTGTATGTGCATCTCATGTTATTTGATAAAAGCTTTGAAATTACAGACACATTTAAAGTCTCATTTTGATTTTCCTACATTTATCTGAAGCCTATGTATGTCTTATTCAAACAGGGAAATGCAGGAATTGAAGGAAGCATTGGAGATCCAGGACCACCGGGTATAAAAGTAGGCCTGCGGTTCACTCTTCTTGAAGAATTATAATATATCTCTTTAGATATATCTCATATTCCTTTGTCACACCAATGTGCTTCTGTGATAATGCAGCAATATACTGTATGTTTCCAAGCATTGAGCAATTTTCTTGGTTTAGGGTGCCAATGGAAAACCAGGAAAACTTGGACCCTCAGGTGATCCAGTAAGATTACTTCAAACAATTCCTTAATATTTTAAATGTCTGATTGCTGAGACACCTTTACTATTATTGAGACTGAGGTTTCTTTTGTAGAGCAATTGTAGAGCTGCTATTTGAAGTTATTAAAGCTTCAATTTAAAAAATAGAATTTCAATTTAAATACTTTAATATACAACCAAAACGTTCAGTGTGTTGTGAAAGTGAGCATGCTCTATTTTATCTTTCAATGTAATTTAATGCTGTTTTTGTTCTTTAATGCTTGAAATCTAAGAAGCAGCAGAGATGTTAAATGATTATCATATAACAGTCCAAATCGGAAAACAGTGTTTGTCACAATAATCAAAATATGTATTTTTTCATCAAATTGGCAGCCCTAGCCAGCTAGAAAAAATGATATAATGCTTTTGGGAAGATTGTGTTTGTTGTCCTTGTCTGTCTGTCTATAAACTTCAGGGTCTGAAATCCCAGCGTGGAATGAAAGGAGATTCTGGCCAAAATGGAGATCAAGTGAGTTCACTAAAATATTTACAAAAGCTCTGGCCAAGTAAACAACACTTTTTGAATGCCAGAAGCACACTGTTTTCAGACTTAAAAAAAAAAAAAAATTCTGAGGGAGTAAATGTTGAAAGAACTAATCTATCTTTTCTTATCTGTGGTTTCTCTTTGTCAGGGTCTTCCGGGGCTGCCAGGTAAACAGGGATTCAGAGGCAGAGGAGGGCAGTCTGGTGTACAGGGAGAGATAGGCCCACCTGGACCTGCTGGTTTACCAGGGGCCACGGTGAGCGGCAGCTACATTTAACTGGTTCAAAACTGACTCATTGAAAGTCAACCTCTTAGTATGCTTTTTCTTCAGGGCTATGATGGACCTATTGGAGATCCAGGGAGACAGGGACAAGATGGACTTAAGGTACAGTAGAATTCTAGTTCTCTGTTTGTCAAACGAATCTAACATAGTGTGCTATCTCAGAAAAACACAGTTATCGTATATAAATGGCATCTTCAGGGAGAGAGAGGTCCTCTGGGTATCCAAGGTGTTCATGGACCACGAGGTGACAAGGTGATTGATCATTACTCTTTTTGAAAGATGTTATACTTTAGATATCACATTCATATACAATTGCAATAAAACAACATGATTTAACTTCAAAAGGGTCGAAATGGCCAAGGAGGATTTTCTGGTTTTCCAGGACCTTTGGTAAGTAGGCTATAATTTCTTTAATATAGTCAAAACTTAGGAGGGCAAGGAAGGATACAAAGGCCTGGTTTCACAGACACGGCTTATATTAAAATAGGATTAGGCCTTAAAGGGGTCATATAATGCCATTTTTGTACAAGCTAATATGATTCTTTAGGGTCTAAATTAAAAGTTTGTAATATACTTTAATTAAAAATTCTCATTAGTATTGTAAGAAAACACTTATTTTACCTGGTCAAAAACAGCTCTGTTTTCAGCACGCCGTTTCAGTGCATATGACTTTAAATGATAATGAGCTTCGCTCACCCCGCCTCTCTGTTCTGTGCATACACCATTTGTAACTAATGCTGCGATCCAGGCAGGTTTTTGAGCACGTAAATCACGACTTCAAACTACGACTCACGACTTTGTCGCGTTCCAAGCCAGTCACGCTAAACTACCTGAGCGCAAGGAATTGTGGTAGCTAGATGTAAACAAACCATTGCTGTTTTGTATGGTTTCGCGGGCTATATGACGTCAGAGCTTGTAACTGGGAGTACATCGATCTAGTACGAGTTCAGGGGTGGGAAGTCACGGGTTTGACTGCCGTTCCAGTGCACTTTCACGGGTATAAGGTTGGAAAAACACGGGTTACAGGTTGCCATGCCGTAATGTACCCTGAGTGTAAACCTTAGACGCATTCATTGTGAAGCGTGCAGCTAGCGATTTGCAAAGATTAACATATTAATATAAAGTTTAATAAAACGTTACACTCACTTCAGTTGTTCTAGAGGTTCAGCAGGAACACGAATATCTGCTACCGATCCTTTTTCATGAGCAGCTTCTTAGCAAATCCAGCTTTATACTGATCCTCGTTTATAAAGCAGTCTGGTGTGAGAAATGATGCGCGCAAACATGAGAGCATTGACGTTGCTTGTGGGGAATATTCCCTTCGAAAACAAACTCAGCCACTGCGTCTTCAGCGGTTCGGATTTAGGAACATTAAAATGACTGCTGTGTTCGTTATTGCACCCAAGAACAGAACACCACAATCGCTTAGACGCCATTCTGCTCATAGACAGTGCTCCAGCATATCAACAATGACCGCGCCGGTACCCGCGCAGACTATGATTGACAGCTCGCTCTCACGAGCGAGGGCGGGTCTGTGTTGAAACGCTCCTGTCAATCAACAATCGTGGGAGGGGCTTCCGAGCGTGTGACGTCACACGGTCGAACGGCTTGATTTGAGGCAGGGGAAAACATATAAGGAGATTAAAACAAAAACACTGGATGGATTTTTATCATTTTATGATGGTTGTGTACAGGCACTGCCAACACACATTTCAGTACAATCAACTTGTAAAAGTGCATGTACCATTATATGACCCCTTAATTCAGTTAGGACATTTATGTAGCTTTTATAAACATGCCTTAGAAAAAAAAAACATTACTGGTGTGAATATTGAGACAAAACAATGGCACTGACATGTTTTAAGATATGCCAGTGCAAGTTGCTTTCATTAAAAACAGCTCAAACATGCATTTTAGTCTGGGACTAGGCTTAAGCCTTGTCTGTGAAACCGGGGCCAAGTGTTTAAAGTTTAAACAACGTAAATTTGAGTAGATTAATTTGATCATAGCACCCCCAGTGGTAATTATAGGAAAATCGGTAGATCATTTTTTATTACTTATAACCAGAGCCATAGAGAGAAAGAGTTGCGACACTCCCATAGACCTCCGTTGTAAAAAATGGCGGCGCTTTTAACCGCCTACTTCCGGGATATGGAGATCTGATTAGTTCCAAACACTGTCATTTGGGCGTTGGACCCCATTCACTTACATTGCTGCGCGTCGAGTTGTTCCAGAGATAAGTTGCTGAAATATTGACCTCTTTTGAATTGTCAACTGTCTATATTGTATCAGAGGCTCTTTGCGATGCTTATACTGGTCTTCATTTGTATATGCACAGCATAATTATTTATATTTTATCTTGGTTGTTTCAACCAATTTTCAAGCACTGCCTGCTAGCTGAACGTTAACTTAGTTAGCTAGCGCCTCCGTCAGGCTGTGACAGTTCGGTAATGAATCGCTACCACCTTTATAATATTCATATTTTCAGGCTCCCTCTCCTAAAGTTAAATAGGCCTAACGTTACTTTTAATAATTTGAAACCCCATGTTTGCATCTGCCTTCAGCCCTGGTTTTTGTTTTTCTTGTTCACACACACTCACACAAGCACACATTTTGTTGTCATTTTGTTGTCATTGTTTAATAAAAAATATTTTATTTGAAAACCTTCATTTGTATCAGTCTGTACACTAACCCAGAGCCATAGAGAAAAATCTTCACTCTGCACTTATAGATCCAAACATAAAAGCGTAAATTCGTTTTTAATCTGTTATAGTTTGATAATATGTGTATGGCTTAATCTTAAAATTATATTCGTAGTCTTAACATGATTATGTTTCACGCTGTGGTCCTGGGGGTGGCCACTTTCATCAGAAGAAGTGAGCTAAGCGAATTCTGAACGGACCGCCACGGCAGACCTCTTTGCGTGATCACGAACGTAGGCTAATGAATCGGAATTTATAAGCAAAATCACGGGAATCAATAGCCTAATACAGCCCAGTTGTGCTAAGATAAATATCACGAGACGTCCATCATCAGATGAATGATATGGAAAAGTTAAGTTAGAGCCGCTAAAGCCAGTGCTAATACCCATGCGAACATGAACACTAAGCTTTTCCCTCCAGAAATATAGCCTAAAACTTATATTTCGTTGTCACCCTGCCTCTCCAAATGCAAAACTGACATTAACAAAATGCAATAACAGCTGAAAAAGTACTTGGGTGTGTGTTTTATTTTACATTTACCGTTCAATAATGCAATCGCTGCTGTCTGTCCCATAGAAGAACATGACAGTCAGCGTATGTTTTGGAACTATTGGGGCTTACATGAACCACGTGACAGCCATCGCGGCGACATCAAAGAGTGTCGCAACTCTTTCTCTCTATGGCTCTGCTTATAACTAACTATTACCTAAAACAACTAATAGCCTTGACCTGTAGGTGGCGCTGTAAACACATTTACATTGTATTCACAGAGCACTGCGGCAATAATAAAAAATAATTGCGGCATTTAAAAAAATATATACTGTATATTTTACTAGGCTACTAGGGTCCATTATAGATATAATATAACTATTTCTAAATGCTTGTTTTATAGGGGGAGATGGGAAAATCAGGAGAACAAGGACCTGAAGGAGAGCCCGGTATTAAGGTTCCCGTGTACATCAGATCATTACTTTTTAAATATATTAATATGTGTCTTTTAACAACTCCATGTCGTGCATTATTAAGTAAGGTCTGCTCATGATTTTCTAATTCCTTTGGTCAGAATTATTTCAGTCACAACTGAAAATCACATTCATGGACAAAAACATTTTTTAAATTTTTATTTTTATTTTTATTTTTATTTTTTATGGGACAGGGTTTACAAGGGGTCCCTGGAGGAACTGGGTTTAAAGGTGAAAAGGTAAATTGAGTTCCCTAATGATTGGTCAAATGCATGTCATACTCCAACACTGAATGTCACAACAAACTTAGCATAGCATTGATTAACTATAGCATAGACTGATGTGGATTAGCATGCGCCGTCATGCATCAAGTTATTAGCTAAGTCATGATCTTTATCATCATTTAGGGACTGCAGGGTGTTTCGGGGAGTAGAGGACAGGATGGTACTCATGGTGCACCTGTAAGAGCCACACATACACATTTTGATAAAGCATGCCCTGTTAGCTTGCCTCATTAGCTAACTAAGAGTAATTTGTGTTACAGGGATCGATTGGACCATCGGGATCAGATGGTGATAGAGGACCTACAGGAACACGAGTAAGAACTCTTCTCATTTTTTTTATGCTTTGTTAGACATCTTTTTACTGATATGGACAACACAACTGATTAAATCTGATGTCTGAACAGGGTTTACAGGGAAAGCCTGGTGCACCAGGAATCCAAGGTCCTATTGGAAAAACTGTGAGTTTTATTTTCCTTTATTGATTGACAGGGTTTCCAAAACATTGAGTGTCTTAGTTATGTAAGGCCTCATCTTGTGGTATATTTAGCAGTTAAAAATTTCATAGTTTGCCAATTCTGACATTACTGTGTAAGAATATGACCTGCAGCACGATGCTATTAAATAACTTTTTAAAGGGGGAAGCAGGGAGCCGAGGTCTCGCTGGCAAACCTGGAAAGCCTGGAATCAGGGTAAGTAATGATTTCATAAAATTCCAACCACCTTTTTATTTTACATGACACCCAGTTCTCCAGCATAGACTTTGTCCAAATTTAGATCTTTTTTTCTGTGCTATTTTATTGCAATTGGCGATGAATTTTATGCGGATATTTCAGTCTTGATAGGTTTTTTAATGATACATTTTGTTATGGTTTGTTTTTCTCAGGGTGTCAAAGGCAGAGAAGGTTCAGTAGGGTTTCATGGCAGTCCTGGGGAAAAGGTTAGTGGTTTTGTAAAATGTAGAAGTCACATCATGTGACGCATCAATACATATGATGACAAAAACTAAATGTAACAAAAAGCTGAAAACATTATTAGTCACGTTTAACAGTAATCAGCAGCAGAAGTAGAAAGTTTTCTTTCATTCTTGCATTTAAACCAAACCTCTTTTCATTTACAAGCCATATGTTCATCTGACTATTCTCTTCTTATAATTCATAAAATACATTTTACAATCTTTTCATTTGATATTAGGGAAAAAATGCCCCTGAGGGGCCAAAAGGAAAGCCTGGTCAGCCAGTAAGAGCCTTATAATTTATATCTTATTTAAGTGCTATTAAACTTTAGGCTCTGAAACTTTGATTGAAATCTATCAATTTCACTATCTAGGGTCCTCGAGGCGTACCAGGAGAGAAGGGCTACATTGGACCGCCTGTAAGACATGCATTTAACATACATGCACAACATTTTGCAGTCTTTTTGCCAGTGATGCAGTAGTAGTAAGTCTTTATCCAATGTTGGAATGATTTGTGATATGTGTGAAACATTTGTAAATACAATCTTCTAAAGGGACCACAAGGAAACATAGGCCAGTGGGGTGAGACAGGTCTGCAGGGGCCAGTAGGAAATCAAGGGCCCCGAGGACCTCCTGGGCCGAATGGAGTGGCTGGGTACCCAGTATGTGTTTTTGGTTTATTTGGTTTATTGTTGTGAGGACTGTGGGAAGGTTTTAGCTCTAATCCCTTATTGTATTCTTTCTATTTCAGGGTAAAGATGGACCACCTGGACCCCTCGGACCTCAAGGAGAAAAAGGCAATAAGGTGTGATATTTTTTCTAGTTTTATCTTCATTATATATGTACAGTATATTGTTTCTCCCATTGTGGCCTAGTATGAGATCTTTTGTTCATAAATGTTTTGGCCAAAGGGACTGAGAGGAGCCAGTGGACTGAAGGGAGTTGCCGGTATCGATGGTGAGGAGGTAGATTGCTTATAAATTTTGATTATCTAGTTACACTTAAAGGGATAGGTCACCCAAAAATGAAAATCATGTCATCATTTGCTCACCCTCAAGTTGTTCCAAACCTGAATGAGTTTGTTTCTTCTGTTGAACACTAAAGAAGATATTTTGAAGAATGGTCAAAATTTACAAAATTTACAAAATTGCCATTCACTTCCATAGTTTTTTTCCATAGTCACTGGCTACCGTCAATTGCCTGGTTACTGACATTCTTCAAAATAATCTTCTTTTTTTTGTTCAACAGAAAGAAACTCATACAGGTTTGGAACAACATGAGGGTGAATAAATTATGACAACATTTTTGGGTGAACTATCCCCGTAATGCAAAGATAATTAATATAATACTTTTATTCAGCAAGTATGCATTAAATTCATCAAAAGTAACAGTAACATTTTTTACATTTTTGTTCTTTTGAACCTGAAAAAAAATTATCATGGTTTCCACAGATATTTTAAGCAGCACAACTTTTCAACATTGATAATAAAAAGAAATATTTCTTGAGCGGCAAATCAGCATATTATCATGATTTCTGAAGGATCATGTGACACTGAAGACTGGAGTAATGATGCTGAAAATTCAGCTTTGCCATCACTGGAACAGATTACTCTTTAAAATATATTGAAATAGAAAACAGTCATTTTAAATTGTAATAATATTTCACAACTGTTTTTAACCTTATTTTTTAATGAATAAATGCTGCCTACAGTAGGTGAGACTTTCAAAAAATATGTTAATCTTTTTAAAAAACATTTTAATAGTAGTATAATTGTATTAAATAGATGAGTGATGCTTTGCTTTAGGGCCCGGTGGGTGAAACTGGACCAGTCGGACCAGCAGGAAGTAAAGGATTGCCTGTGAGTACAAATCCTCTGATGCTGTATTTTTGCCATCTCCATTTCATCCGTGTACATTGTGTTATGGTGTTTTATGTAAATGATACACAGGACAGAACTGTCGGTTGTAGGGTGAGAAGGGTAAAAAAGGGTTTCTTGGTGAACATGGCCTAAAAGGAATCCCAGGCGAGAGTGAAAATCGAGGACCACCTGGAGCGAAAGGACCAATAGGAAGAGATGTGAGATTATTTATCTGGTTTTTGATTATTTCTCAAGTACGTAATGTACGAATAAATGATTAAAAGAGATGTTGTGTTTTTTTTATAAGGGGTTGAGTGGTGCTCCAGGGCAGAAGGGAGATCCTGGATCCCCAGGTGAAAAAGTGAGTTTTTGATGAAGTTTGCACTGGTGTTTGGATGAAATAGTCAAATGCATTGTCATATTCTGATTGATATTATGTTTTCTCTGTGTTTTTGTGAATGCATAGGGTCAGCCAGGTGTAAGAGGTCAATCCGGCTTGGTGGGGAAGTACGGTCCTGGGGGGAACATGGGAGAAGCTGGTGATAAAGGCGACAAAGGTCTACGTGGACTTGTTGTGGGTACCACTTCCTCCTTTACAGACAGTGTAGCTTATGCAGAAATATATATTCATCTAATTTATTTCAATGTTCTTTGGATATTAAAGGGTGATACAGGAACAAATGGGCCTCCAGGTCCAAAGGGTGTTGTTGGGTTACTGGTAAGTTAGGTTTGATATATTTGATGTATCGTATATTTTGGGATATATATATTCAACATTTGTGTATTTCATTCAAATGTAGGGTTTGCCAGGAAAAGAAGGATTTGTTGGACAAAGTGGAAAGCATGGGCTGAAAGTATGTTTATATAATTTTTTACTGATGTCTTCTGATCCCATATTTACCTACATTATCTAATTAATTCAGCATGCAATACATTAGACAGTCACTGTCAATTGACCTAATGTGATCTTATCAAGTTATTCACCCATGTTCACTGGTTGTTTGTGTGGTAGGATGAAATAAAACGTATGCTCTGTTACACCATCATATGAGTAAGTGCATCTGCTTTTGTTTTTGTCTCCTGTAGGGAGAACCTGGACTTAAAGGGGATTCAGGGGGCCCTGGGAAGATAGGATCAATTGTAGGTTTTTACTTTTGAAGACGTATACATTATTTAAAAAAAGTCTGGCCTTGCTTTATTGACCTGAATTTTGTATGATGTTCACAGGGTGCTCAAGGTCCAAGTAAGAAGAAAGGAGAGCCTGGAACAAGAGGCAAAATGGTGCATTTGTCATTAAAAATAAGACAAAGGCATTTTGTACTGGCATACAGTATGTTAAAGTGTTAACATATTTGAATGATCTATGCCCCTGTTTAGGGTCCAGTGGGTCAGCCAGGAGCTGTGGGTCCTCACGGTCTGAAGGGAAAACAAGGATCTTCAGGAACTCCAGGGGGAAAAGGAGTCAAGGGTCAAATAGGGCCAAAAGTCAGTGGGCTGATATTTTACCGATGTATCATTTAATCTGCTCAAAATTACTGCATGTTTTGTGACTAGAATGTTACTCATATTTGAATGTCTGCCAACATGTTAAAGAGTTGATTTTGGACAAAAAAAAAACATTAAAACAAGCTTTCCCAGAACAAGTGTAAATGTGATTCTTTCACACAGGGAGTGAACGGTTCTCCTGGAAGGAGAGGCAGTAAAGGTGTTGCAGGAAAACCAGTGGGTTCAAGATTTCTTTCTGACATTTATGGTCTTGATAATCAGCAGCTTTACTGGTATTATTTCATATTTTTCTGACACAAACAAATAAAAAGTTCATGCATATGTTTTATTGTTCTCTAGGGACCTCAAGGACCAAAAGGGAAACATGGCAATCCTGGTCTCCCTGGAAAGCCAGCAAGTATCCCTAGGACAAATCCTTAACCTTCTTAACTGTTTATTGTTTGTGCCAGATATGATGGTCTTTTACATTAACTCCATTTAAGGGTCGTAGTGGAACAGATGGACTGCTGGGAGTTATAGGCACTGAGGGCGACCCAGTGAGTAGCTTGGCCTTATTCACTATTCACATTTTATAGAGGCGATTGCTTGCCTATGCAAAACTAACTGCCACAATGCTAGGGTGTTGTGGGCGGTGCAATGGTTTTCTGAGTTGTTGCTGAGATATCTGGCCTAAGATCAGTTAGATTGTTTAGAAGTAATATTCTTAGAGTATAATAGCTTTATGTCAAATGACAGATTTAGCACAAAAGTGAGCATTTACTACCTCATCATTGTACAGGTGCTGCTGAGTGAATGTTTATATTAACTTCCAGGGTGACATTGGGTTCAGAGGACCTCCAGGGAGACCGGGTCCTCCAGGTAGTGCTGTAAGTAAGCTTGTTTTATACAGTATTTGAATGATTCATTAAAAAGCATGTCAGTCATAGAATATGGTCATGATTTGTACACATGGTTTCAAATACACTTTCACAGGGCGCCCCAGGAATACCTGGTTTGCAAGGGAGTCAAGGACTATCTGGACCAAAGGTCATTTCTATTCTGACTCATAAATAAATAAATGCTTCCTTCTACAATCAGTTTACCAGCCTCTTCGTCACAGGGCTCTATAGGACCGAAAGGGAAACCAGGGCCCACTGGGCTGATAGGGCCGAAGGTATTTTAATGAAAGTAATTGTTTTGTCTTCTACAATCCACAAGTAATTATTCATTCATTCATTAATTCATTCATTTTTTAATAAGGGGATTCCAGGACTTCAAGGTGAAAAGGGAGATGTTGGACAGGAAGGACGTAAGGTATAGAAGCCTGACATATGAAATAACAGTCAGAAAAACTGAACAGTTTATTTAAATTTTTTACAAATATATATATATATAACAGGTTTGCATATATGTTTTTTGTTGAGTATTATACTTGATACAGCAGGGGTTTATGGCTCATAGTATGATATAGAATATGGAGTTCTTGAGGAAATAAAAAACACCTCCCAAACTGAGGGGAGGGGGGGGGGGGGGGATGCAATTTGGTGCAGTTACTGATATTTATATGGCCAAAAATGAACATGTTATTCTAGAAGTCAATCCATGAGATGTTTAATAACAGTGTAGCAGTCTACTTAAATAAAATGCATATAAATATCAGGCGTCTCTCTATATCTCCTAATATCTTAGTAAGATAAGATGATATTTAAATTCTCAGTTTTATGATCAAAGCTCTGTAGTTTCTATTGTAGGGGGTGGGTTGCAAAACATAAAATGCAAAGCATTACAGTGATAATTGAGAGATGGACAAATACATTTTCCTCAAAAGCTTGATGTAACATATTTGAGACGCACATTTTAACATGATTGTTCTAAAATAATTATAATAAAAAAGAAAAAAATATAGATAATGAAGTAAAGTTGCTTCAGTCCAGTAAGTGTTAATCTTGAAATATAGGGTTAACATGGTCATTAATACAATTTACAGGGCCATATTGGAATTAGAGGATTGCAAGGGCCCATTGGACCACCAGGAGAAAAGGTAAATTCAGATGAAACACACCAGAAACAATTAGTTGATTTTTTCACTAGTAATAAATGTTTTCCTTCATCTTGCAGGGAAAACAAGTTGCTCCAGGGTACAAGGGACGGCCTGGACCAAAAGGCATACAGGTAGCAGTTTATATTGTGCACATGTTTACTGTGACCTTTTTGTTTCTTTATTCATAAGTATTCTTTTTTTGCAGTGTAAATTGACAGCCTTCTTAATGTTTTTTTTTTTTTCAAATATATGTTTATTGAACTTTTTTAGTGCAAAGCATGGTAAAACAGATTTACAGCAAGTACCAACAAAATATCCATCACATAAGTATGTTTTGTGTTGCAGGGTGAAGCTGGTGCTCGTGGGCCTCCTGGTGACAATGGTTTTCCTGGTTCAACTGTGTGTCTCTTTGTAAACTCATTGACCAACTTTATTTGCTTTAAAACAATGGCACAGATTCTGACAGATTCTTGTTTTGCTCTACAGGGTCCACCAGGAAGGAAGGTGTGTACTGAAATTGCAGGTGTGATTGTAATTTATATAGCTCTGCTTATCATTACCCTGTACCTGAACCAGGTAGGTACAGTACAGATACAGATCTTACTGTCAGGCTGACCTGTAGTGCCCTGACAACGACTCAAAAAACAATGCACACATCACATTGAAACATTGAAAATATGGGATTAAAAATATGATTTAAACCTTAAAATATATTACATTTTAAGTTTATGAAAATTGTAAGGGAAAGAAAAGTTATGGTGTAAAAATAAGAAATTCACAGGAATAAATGACTTTAAAAATGATTCAAAAAGAAAACTGACAGAAAATATTGCACAATATAACTGTTTACTGTATTTTGATCAAATAAATGAAGCTTTGGTGAGCATAAGAGACTTCTTTCAACAACATTGTTTCTTAACCCTTTTCAGTACTTTTTGGCCAATTAAAAAAAAAAAGTTTAATAAAATGGTTCTCTCAATTTGAGTGATTCAAATCAGATTTTTTTTTGTTTTAAAGATATGAAAACTGAACAAACAAAAGAGTGGTCATATTTTTTATTTGTGTAGAATAAAATCTTTATATCAACCACAATGAACTTCAATAGTGCAAAAGATGCACTCCCACCCACCATGAACAGCCGAGGTGTAACCCTTAAATCCCCCAACCCCGAAAAAAAAAAGTGCTTTTTAAAATATTGTTCATATCAACAGGGTATGAAAGGAGTTCAGGGAATATCAGGACAAAAAGGTGTGAAAGGTCGGAGAGGACCACCTGTAAGTTGTACATTTTTCCTGTGTGTAACTGCATGTTAATAATGTCAACACTTTCATTTCATACTTATTTCATTCAAGATTATATAACTAAATCTATTATATTCGGACTCAATTTCCTTTTTTTTTACAAGGGAAAACCAGGAATTCCCAGCAAGCTGACACCAGGGCTTCACACTCCACCTCATGCTCAGAGAAGAGCCTCACTAAATGTAAGTACAAACTCAAGCAGTCAACCTTGGTTTGTTAAGCACTGAAACACACTTTTTTGTCAATTATCGCAAGGTACAGTAGAGGAAAAGGTGGGGTCGCAGAAAGACTTGACCCAAGATGAAGCTTTTAATATATTGCTTGTACTATCTGTTTAGAAAGCAAGGTTATTATCACGAAAGTCTCGATTTGATGACCCTGAAGATGGGATTGAGGAAAATAGCCACTCACAAGGCACCAAAGAGAGCCCAGCAACCACCTGCAGAGAGCTGAGTCTCATCCAGCCTCACCTCAGAGACGGTGAGCAGAAAACCACCTGAGACCTGAAAATGTGGCTCTTGTTTTAAAAAAAGAGAAGGATATTTTAATTTAACTGTGGTCATATATTCATAGGGCACTACTACGTTGATCCTAACCACGGATGTCCACTTGATGCTCTCCATGTTTTCTGTAACTTCACAGCTGGTGGTTTAACTTGTGTGTCTCCTGTCCAGTCTAAAGTAAGAGGATTTTCACAGTTTATCAATCTTCTTTGATGACTCTAAAACACATAAACAGTGTTGCCAACTTAGCGACTTTTTAGACCCCTTTAGCGACTTAAAAAAACAATAACTAGAGACAAATCTAGTGACTTTTTGGACTGCTGGTTAAAGGTACACTTAAAATTAACAAAATTTAAATACATCATTAATCCTTCTTCCAAAACATGTTTATATTTTTAGACCTAGCGGGATGATTTTCTGCTACAGGGCCAAAAGTTACATAGTGTACCTTTAACATGTAGCGGTCAGTCGCTATATCATGCTCATTCTGTTGTCTGACAGAAAATATGTAATTGAGAAGAACAGCTTTATTGGACATTCGGCTATATATTTGAGTAAAATACAGTATGCGAGTATGGATTAAGAGAGAAAACAGATGTGGAATGCCAACAATTGGCTCATGACGTCATCTAGTGACATTTAGCGACTTTTCAAGCAGGCTTTAGCTACTTTCCATTTAAAATAGTTGGCAACACTGCAAATAAACTGATGTTTTTTTGTTTTTTACTCTGGGATGCCCAAAGTCTGAAAGAGATTTGTTCCCCATTATTCCGACACACAGCCAATTTAAATGTACCACCCAGACACATAATAATACAATAACATATGGACACATGTACAAAATAAGAGTTGCTGTGTACAGATATTCTGTTATATTGAAATAATACCATGTTTGTGGTCATGATTGTGTAAGATTTCAGGAAAATGGCCATCAGTGGACAGCTCTAAAAAGTGGTTTAGTGAGCCTCACAGAGGCTTCAAGGTAAATCACCGAACTTACTAAATTTCATAAGCTGATGAAATTTATTGTTAATTTGGTGTTTTTTTGTTTATATGGAAACAGTACCATGAATATCATTATTTCTATTAAGAATAACAGGCATCTTAATGAATGTAATTTTCACACTCCACAGTTTAAATACAGAGGCCTCGATGTTGTCCAACTGCGATTCCTACGGTTGCACAGTAACTCTGCCACACAAAGCATCAGCCTGAAATGTCCCAAAAAACCCAGCCCCATTGCTGAGCACAAGGAGACCACCAAGAGGGTGCTACACTTACGAGGAGACTCCAATGAAGAAATCCATCCATCCCATGTCATCATATCACAGCATGGTTGTGAGGTTAGAAGTAATCTCTGGTAGTCTATGACACAAGACAAAAGCTTTGCTAAATGAGAAGTTTCCAAAAATGACACACAGCCAAACCATGTCAGGTAAATTAAAGCTATTGCATATAACAAGAGCATAATAAGTGTTTTCCCTGCCTTATATTGCAGGTAACGGCACAGGTGAGGGTCCTGGGGAATTCAGAGCTCCACAGAGGAGACGTGCAACTACTTCCCATAAGAGACGTTTTTTTAGAGAGTGGAGGGGAGAACTTGGAAGGAGATACGATCATCGTCCTTGGACATCTGTGCTTCTTATAGTCTCTTTCCAAAAATAGATGGTATTCACAGAGCTCCTGGGAGGAATGCAATGTTCCCAGCTGACAGTACATTACAATGAGACTCTGAGTATTGTATTATAATGTTACCTTACATTATGTAAGGTACTTTATGATCAGTGATTTCCAGCATAGCTGAATTTGCTGCCTCTCTAATTATTCAGATTTCCTGTAGACTGAAAGTGGTGCAATAATTGTTTGCGTGTGTGTAGTGAGCATGTGAGAATTTATTTAGACTTGTGTGTCAATGGGTTGTGAGTATTTATGATAATGATTTATGTAAGTTGTAAGAATTTGTATTCAATACCTTAATGTTTTACTAACTGATATTAAAAATGTAAAACCGTAGGGCATTCCTACTTTCTATATATTGCAAAAAATATTATGAAAGTCATGAAATGCCCTTTTTTTGCAATATTCCTAATGTTACAATAAACAAATCCTGGATTACTAATACTTTTTTTACTGTACTTTAAAACTAGTCAACATTACATTGCACACTCATTAATGAATTATATATAGGCCTATATATAATCTCCACAATGGGAACATTAAATATAACACCTTAACAAAAGACACATAATTAACTCAAAATATAACTAAATTTGTAAACCCCATAGTAATTATAATTACAGTCCCAATCTGCACCTACTTATTCTACAGACTTGGCTAATAAACGACTTGCTTAATTTCTTTTAAGAATTTTTTTTTCTTTTGGGGTGAAATATGACCAAGGCATGTTCTTGAAGGGTTTTAAGATTCATATATTTATCCCACATTACATATTTGAGAAAAGTAAGATAACCAGCAACGCTGCAACATATTGGTATTGTTACTGTACGTTTAAGATCAATTTACACAGTCGAAACAGTTCAACCAGTCAGATGGCGTTAAACTGCAGACTCCGCCCCCGGTAGAGAACGAGCCCCTGTTGGTTCCTATGGTTGTTTCAGCTGATTTCCAACAGGCCTGATGCTGCTCTGCTGTCACACTCATATCAGTCAATCACTCGGAGTTTGTCCTCAGAAGCCGAATTGATTATTAAGGACGTGTGTATTTGGAAAGAAAGCACAAGTAAGTGATCTAAAGGTTGTTTTCTGTTCGTAAAACGGAGCCAATATAATAGACATCAAACATTACCTGGTCATTGAACGTCTTCTGTGTTTACAATCACCGTATCGAGTATCGTTCGTATTTAGTGTGAGCACCAACACAGCCATCTAATTTAGCGTAGAATACAACTTAATTCAGTATTCCAGCAACTAGTATCTTTGTATTTAGTTTAATTAATTTCACTAGTAATTATCATTAGATGGACTAGTAGCCTACTGTTCCATCAGAGACTAGTATTAGATTAAGTCATTAGCACTTTGCTTTCGTGACAAGTAATTATTTCATCGTTACTGCCAATTAGTAGCAAATTTTTGTCATTGAATTTTATGGAGATCTGTGATTCAAATATCTGTGGCTTAATCTGACTATTACTGTATGTGTACTAATTATGCTGATACCAGTTCTAGTTTTACAAGTAACAATTAATTAGACATCCTTACTTATTTAGTTTTAGTTACTAGTTATAATAAAGTAATAAAAATGTCTCCTCTCGCTAGTTAGAGTTGGGGTTTTTTGGTCATATGTAATGACTAATCAGAATGACTTTTTTTAAATCAATGAAATTTACTAGATAAAAAATAATCTAATTGATGTAATCAAGATAAATATTTTCTGAATTGCATCATTTATTTCCTTGATTTCAATGATATACCTGTTAAACAATTCATACGATTCACATTGTTCATGCTGCTGGTTTGTGTTGGGTTTTCAGCATCAGGATGGTGAATGAGGGTGCTGGCACCCCACGCAATCGTAGGGGGTCCCATAAGGTTGTTCCGTCATCAGACCAGGATGGGACAGGAGCCGAAAGAGCCACAGGAGAGGTGCCCTGCCCAAGTAATGGTGAGACTCACTTAAACGCTTAACAAAAAACCTTGACCTGGTCCTCCAAATGTAGACTAGTCAAATTGAGCAGAGGCAAAACAGTCACATTACAATTCTGACGAAGAGACAAAAGAGTTTCTCTTTTGGTAGTTCTAATGTAGGTCATTCAACTCTGACCCATTGGAATCAGTTGCAACATGTTTCACCTAGTGTCCTAACTATTTACGTTACATACTTGTACAATTTGTACAACCCATCATTTGTATGACACTGTCAATCTTTGACATTATTTATTTAGTAAATCAGAGATCAACAAGATATTTATTTCCCTTGATCTGCTTAGTTCAGTTCACTGAAAAGAAAAAATATCAATTAATTTTTGTGTGTGCTATAAAATAGTTGTTTTCTTAATTAAATGCTGCTTTTCTGTTGTGTGAAAGGCTTTTAATTAGCAAAAATAGCAATAAATGATACAGTTATATTATAACTCCATGATCGCTATAAATATGCTGTGGTATGATTTGCCTATAATTATCAGCCTGTTCTTACTGCTGTACTTGTAGTGAAGGTCTTGATTAAGCAGTGTAATCATATATGGGTTAAAACAAAATGAGGAAACGGTAGCCATTACACATTCATGTTACGTTAGTGAAACCATCAAGCTTAATTCTGGGAATGAACAGACTTCCATGTGATTTGCCGTGTGACCTGATTGAGAAATTGCCATGTCCTGCTGTTATCAATGATGCAGTCATTCCCATTAACTGTGACACGATGACACTGAAAATGCTAGTGTAGTTTTATTGCGCAATCACACTGTCAAATACAGCGTAGCACATTTCATAAGATGCTTCACAGTGTAGCATTTGAGTTTTTTAAAGTTATTATTATATAAGCGTTTATTAAGGTAATATAATGTTGAACAATAAGTGTTTTCAATGGGGTAAACTTTGCTGCTTTTTGTAACAGTCAAAAGTCATCAGGTTCTACACTCACTTTTAATTCATTACCTATTTAATTGTTCTGCCATAAAACGTAAAATGTATTTCTTTATCATATAGTCCATTGGCTATTTCACACACATTCATCTATCCCAATGTAAAGTCCTTTTTCCTAAATGAAAGTGACTTTTTTTTTTAATCTTCGATAATGTGAAGATGTAATGGGGGACATTTATACTTGTATTTACAAAAGTTTGGGGTCAGTAAAAAAAAAAAAAAAAAAAAAAAAAGGGTTTCAAAAGAAGTCTCTTATGCTCACCAGGGCTACATTTATTTGATCAAACAAACCGTAAAACAATAATGTTGTGAAATATTTTAAATGGCTGTTTTCTTTATTCTTGTGATTCAAAGCTGAATTTTCAGCATCATTACTCTTCAGTGTCAAACCTTCGTCCTACTGACTAATGAATTGCTGTTTGTTTTTTGATCATATACATATGGTATGGATTTCTTTGAAGATGTATGGCATTTTATCAATATAAAGTGAGTTTTCAGTGCTTTTTCGAGCAATTTTGTGATATCACTGTATAGGTTAATGTACAATCTTTTTAAAAGTGTTGTATGAATCATCTGTTCGGTTTGCTCTCAAACGGATGCGGGTATTCTGTTTGCGTTATGTTGGATTAGTTAAAGATTACTGTATGATAAACCAGTATACGGTGCCCACAAGTGCCACAGAATGACCTGCGTCCATCTGTATGTAAATGTGGGCGTTCATGAGGGATCTGTATTGATGTCTCATTTCAGGAACAGTGGAAGTGGAGCACATTATCAGCGCAAAACTACAGCTGAAGAAGAAAGCTGAGGTAAGATGTCAATCCCAGTGAATCAGTGGCTTTCAGAGCTTTATCTTGTCAGATATCAAAACCTTGAGAGCAACAGAGCAACTGTGCCAATCTTGTACTTTATCACTGTATTGTTGCAGAGTGACTATACAGATAATCTGTGATAATACTGACAATCACATTTACGTCATAGATTATCAGATCCTAAACGTTCTAATGTGACCTCTGCTTTGGCTATATCATTTTAGTGATTTAAATGCAATGCAATGCTTATTCTTGTGATTTTGATCAGTGTAAATCTGCCTGAGCTTTTGTGATTTAGTGTAGCAGCTCCAGATATTTGTTCTTGTTTATCAAGCTCTTTGTCAGGCAGGAAGTTTTGCTCTCTATAAAGCACAGTCTCTAGTTAATATTTAAAAAGTCTAGTAGAGTATTTCTGCTAGTGGTTCAGTGACAAAAAAGTATGTTTGTTCTGGATGATGAAAATGGAGAAACTATTTAAATAGGTTTACATGCCATATAATATTTTTTGGTTTAATGCACTTCTGAAAATTGTTTATACCATTTGATTGTTTTGGAAATAGAGCCATACCCATCAATCGAGTAAAGTAATAAAATATTTTTCTTGAATGCACATGAGTTTACACATCTTAATCATTATATTTTTAAACTTATTTATGAAAGTATTTTGAATCATAATTATCACTTTATATATATATATATATATATATATATATTAATAATTTTATTTAAATAAAATATTAATGAAAGTATATAGCCCTTTCATAAAGTTTATTTAAAAAAAACTATTTTACATATACAAATGTAAGATATCTAATTAATTGTTAGTCTGATTTTTTTATTCTTAAAAATTATGTGTATATATATATATATATATATATATATATACACACACACACACATTTAAACTACTGACCTTGATATACTGTTTTATTAATTTCTTGTTATGACAACAGGTTTAAATCCCACAAAAATATCAAATGGTATTGTAATTAAATACACAATAAGTTTTCAATTTCTCAAGTCATTTTCTGAATTACTTTTTTAGGTGTTGAATTATTGAATTAAAAAGATTCAGACAAATATGATCAATTAACAAATCGGCAGCACATTTTTCAGACTATATTGATTTTAAGCAAAACAATCATTTGCTTTCTTTATTAGGATCAACTGTTGTTTTAATGGTTTCCCACTGCTTGCAGTGCATGCTTGTAAAGGTTTCAGGAAGTGTAGATAGAAAAGGAAGGATGTGGTTGTCAGCCAGGGACAGTGAGGTTATTCAGAAACACGGTGGGAATTATTAAGTACAGCCAAAGGATTAAACTTTAGAATGAATTCGAATCGCAGACCTCCAATGTATTGCGTACTCCCAGTTTTTTGTCCGTGTGATCAAGTGAAGTATCTCTTAAAGTTCCTAAGACGTACAAAGACCTTCATTTGTCTCCATTAAGATCAGCCACAGTTAAAACAAAATGAGCGTGACAGCTTGAGTTATCACATGAGACCAGATTCTGCGACTGAATGTTTTTTCAGCATTTGAAAGCAGACCTGATGAGGCAGTTTGACACTCAAGTGAATGAGTTCATGGACAGCCTGATAGAGGAGTCTGCCAGTCTGGGTTCCTCCCATGTGAGCACAGTCTTTCAGTCTCTCTCAGATAAGGAGAAAAGCAAACTCAGGTACTGAAATAATCACCCATGAACAGCATTGCAATGAGTTCACTTCAATGTTCTCATTTACTGTCATGAATTCACTGCATTTGTGATTTCTTTTCCATCACATGTTCTTGGCACATCAGCATGGTGCTTTTATCTCATATCTGTCCCCGTGTCGTCTACCCTTTCATCTTCCTCTCTGCTCCTGTAGGCATACACAACCCTCCCAAGCCCAAAGCAAGCAGTTTGTGACTCGTCGATCCCTGTTAGAGTGAGTCATGGGTGTATTTTCTCTGAGCTCTTGCTGAAACCTGTACTGAAATGTGTGAAATCTGAGATTTTTTTTCCGTCTGTGGCGAGATAAAGATGAGATATGACTTTCATTTGATTAGCTGACCTAAATAAGCTTTTTTTTATTATATCACAATTTATGATTTATTTATTTTTTCATGTATTTAGTGTTTAATCAGGAAAACAGTGGCCATTCAATATGGTTGTACTGAATATGTATATTTGAAGTAATAGTGCTTATGAAATGATTTTTCTGCAGTGATCTCTTTGAGGTGAACCACATCCGCACCATCTATCACATGTTCATCGCTCTCCTCATCCTCTTCATCTTCAGCACACTCGTCGTGGACTTCATCGATGAGGGCAGGTTAGGACGCTCACTGTTCATCAACACTTTTGGAATCCAGTTTGCTTCAGTTTTTTGAGACGGCAACCTTGTTTGAGATGTTCAAGTTCTGACCTTGGCAACAGTGTGGTTTCATAAATTCATAATGCTTTTGTTTTTGCTAAAGTATGAAGAGATATATTTAGTCTTTACAAGCACAATGTTTGCAAGGTCTCCTATATTCAGTATATACTTCTCCTGGCTTATAGAGGCCCAAACCTGTTCAAAATAAATACAGTTCGATAGATAGATGTATAAGAACAAATAGAATTAATTTTTAATTACATTTAATACTGAATTTATTTTTGTATTACTTTTTCCTTCTTCTTTTCTGTATTTATTTTTAAATGTAATTTTATTCTTTTTAACCTTTATTAATGTATTCTTCTATCTTTCTGGAAGTCGTTCTGTCGCTCTATTGTTCTGTCGCTCTATCTATCATTCTGTCGCTCTGTCTATCTTGCTGTCACTCTATCTATCATTCAGTTGTTTTATCTATCTATTGATCTATCTGTTCTGTCTGTCTAAATATCTGTCGTTCTGTCATTCTATCATTCTATTATTCTGTTATTCTGTCGCTCTGTCTATCGTCTATCTGCTCTCACTCTAGTCTATATCATTCAGTTGCCATATCTTTCTTTTGATCTGTTGTTCTGTCACTCTATCTATCGCTCTGTCGCTCTATCTGTTGCTCTATCATTCAGTTGCTCTATCTATTGATTGATCATTCTGTCGCTCTGTCTATCTTGCTGTCACTCTATCTATCATTCAGTTGCTTTATCTATCTATTGATCTATCTGTTCTGTCTGTCTAAATATCTATCTATCTATCTATCTATCTATCTATCTATCTATCTATCTATCTATCTATCTATCTATCTATCTATCTATCTATCTATCTATCTATCTATCTATCTATCTATCTATCTATCTATCTATCTATCTATCTATCTATCTATCTATCTATCTATCTATCTATCTATCTATCTATCTATCTATCTATCTATCTATCTATCTATCTATCTATCTATCTATCTATCTATCTATCTATCTATCTATCTATCTATCTATCTATCTATCTATCTATCTATCTATCTATCTATCTATCTATCTATCTATCTATCTATCTATCTATCGTTCGTTCGTTCGTTCGTTCGTTCGTTCGTTCGTTCGTTCGTTCGTTCGTTCGTTCGTTCGTTCGTTCGTTCGTTCGTTCGTTCGTTCGTTCGTTCGTTCGTTCGTTCGTGTCTGTCTATATATCTATCTATGCAGTAAAGTGAAACAATAGAAGAAGATGCACTAATTTGTGTAAAAGTGTAAAAATCTTTCTTTCGTGCATTCTCTCTAGACTGGTGCTTGAGTTCGACCTGTTGGTTTACGCGTTTGGCCAGTTCCCCCTAGTGGTTGTCACGTGGATGTGTATGTTCCTGTCCTCTCTTGTGGTTCCATATGTACTGCTCAGTGTCTGGGCCAGCGTCTACCCCACGTCAAACTATCGGGCCTTATGGACAGCGCTGGCCGGTTCTCTGTTGCTGCTGTACCAGGGGCTGTGTTTGGGTTTCCTGCCCACATATGTGGTGCTGAAGAACGGCCTTCCCCCTGCTTCATGCTTCATACTTATTCTAGAACAGGTACTCCGTAACCATAGCAACGGGATTCTTTTTATATCACTCCATTGCTCTGTTTTCTGCCATCGTGTGTTTTTTGAGTGTGTTCCTAGGTAGAAATCGAATCATGTATATGAAGGTAGATTTTGAATGTAAGGTTTGTTTTACTTTTCCTGCTGAATCTAGTTGTTGCTAATGGGTTTTGTTGTAAACAGGTGCGGCTGATGATGAAAACTCACTCTTTCATCAGGGAAAATGTGCCGAGAGTACAATCCTTAGAACCAAACAAAACGAGTAAGATCTTCACTTGGATGCTGGTTGACATAAAAAATCAAAACTTCTGGTTTATGGTCGTCGTCTTTTTGATTTATTTTTCAGGTTCAGTAGCTGTCCCTCAGTTCACCCAGTACATTTACTTTCTCTTTGCACCCACCCTAATATACAGAGACAATTATCCACGGTAAGACTGTCTGTTATTGGTTAAGGAAGTTTTTTTTTTTTATAATTATAATAAAAAAATTCACAACATATATAAATGCTAATAAATTAAAATTGTATTTATGTAAATAATGAATACATTTATTTAAAAATTAGTTTAGCATATATTTATAGAGTACTTTTTGTCAGTTTTGATTTTATGTTTGCTCTGAGCACTTACGTTGCTTTGTCTCTGTAGAAATCCTTGTATTCGGTGGGGTTATGTGGCTACAAAGTTTTCACAGGTGGGTTTCTTGAAAGAGTGCATGTTTATGTTGTGATTTTTATAAACATTTATTTCAAGACGTGAATGTAATGTTTTTCTGTGTCGTTCCAGGTGCTGGGGAGTTTGTTTTATGCGTATTACATATTTGTGCGGCTGTGTATCCCTCAGTTCCGCAGTATCAGTATGCAGCTCTTTGACCTGAGGGCCATGGTGTTGTGTGTCTTCAACTCTATACTGCCAGGTATCATGTCAGCAGGGCCAATATATCTTCTCATTCCTTTATACTGATAAAATGTTGTGAAACGAATTGTAATAAAGAGTACACAGTGGGTCACAAATGTAGTAAAAACGCGCACGCATGCATTTTGTGTGATGATATTGTCCCATATACGTAGGAGTGCTGGTGCTTTTCTTGGCGTTCTTTGCCTTTCTGCATTGCTGGCTTAACGCATTTGCTGAAATGCTACGATTTGGAGACAGAATGTTTTATAAGGTAACAGACAGCACCAACAGAAAGTGTTTAATTTCACAAATATACACCCTTATACCTTATAGACTTTGTTGTAGAGTTATTTTTATATGTTCCACATGATCAGATCTGCTTAGTTTTGCATTTCATCTTTTTTTGTGTTCCTATTGTGCGTTTTCTTCTTTGAATAATGTGCTTTTTCTCTAGGACTGGTGGAACTCCACTTCATTTGCTAACTATTACCGCACATGGAATGTTGTTGTACACGATTGGCTTTATTATTATGTCTACAGGGACTTCTTGTGGGTAAGTCATTAGTTGAAAATGTATTCTGTAGTAATTATAAATTATTCATAATCTATAGTGTGTGTGTGTGTATATATATATATATATATATATATATACACACACACACATATATATCATTATTTTTTCATTATTACTCAATTAATTAATTACTTCTAAATTACTATTACTTTTTATTAAGTAAATATGTAATTTTATTATAATTTTCTTATTTAAATATTTTTATTATCATTTATTTATATATAATTGTATTTAATTTAGCTATATATAGAATTGAGCGCACTCATCCAGTAAGTAATCCCAAACGACTGGAAAAGTCAGGGAAGTGTTTCAGGATGGACCCCTTTGGTGGCCTTGTGTTGAACTGTAAAAAACTGTTTTTGTCTTATTTGAATGGACTCAGGAATTTATTTGAAAATGTGACCAAATGTGCATCAAGCCAAACCAAGTTTGATCATCCACTTCTACAGCTGACACAGAAGCGGTTCCGTGCGGCGGCCATGTTAGTTGTGTTTACTGTGTCTGCTGTGGTGCACGAGTATGTTCTGGCCATCTGCTTTGGCTTCTTCTACCCCGTCCTGTTCTGCCTCTTCATGTGCTTTGGAAGTAAGAACCTCATTTACTACATAAGCATGGTAAATATCCCTGCTGAAAAACTGATAGTCTTAGCAGATTTAAGCTGGTCTTACAGCTGACCAAGCTGGTGTTTATTTGGTCAGCAGCTGTTCTACCAAAAACCATCCAGACAGACCAATTTAACCAGCTTGGCCAGGCTGGGATGCCAGATAACCACCTAGAAATTGGTTTTAGCTTCAGTTACAATGACTCTGTTTTTCCATGGCTGATTAACAAAACAGAGCCTTAATATATGTAATCCACTCAAATTTCTCTTAGTGGTGTTTAACTTCGTTCTTCATGACCGAAGAAAAGGGCCCATCTGGAACGTGATCATGTGGACTTCGCTGTTCTTGGGACAGGGGGTTCTCATCTGCCTGTACTCTCAGGAGTGGTACGCTCGGCGCTACTGCTCCGTTGAAGAGGTAAACAAAGTGCTGGTGCCTGGTGTATATTCATCTGCGAATGTAGTTTAATGTGGATTTATTCATATATTGGTGGTTTCCTTTTTGTTTCCTCAGCCCTCTTTCATAGACTTGCTGAAGCCTCGATCTTGGACTTGTTATCCACAGACTAACACTGCTGTGGACGCTCGCTAAGCCACACCTCCAGCTGCCACATGAATGCCATTCATACTGGAGGGAAATCAGAGGAGGGACTTTAGCATTCTATAGGTATTGCACTATGACCAAACGAAGTGAAAAGTGAAAATCTTACTCTATATTCATTTCGTTTCACAAAGAGGCCTTGAATATTTAATTTGTTGAGATCTTAATATTTATGATAACATCTGTAACAGAATGTAGAATATTTATAATGTGCAGTACAAATATTTCCTTTCAAGTTTTCTAAGCGACAGTCTTGTTAGCATTTGACAATCTATATTAGGTTATGTCTGATCTGGCTAAAGAGATTCTATTTTTAGAAGCCTTTGTGACTTCATAAAGTTGAGATCCGATTAGAAATGTGTTTTGTGTTCTGCCATTGCCATGTACTGAAGAGGCCATGTGGCACATTTTGACCTCAAATTCTAGAATGTTTACAAGCGGGGTTGCGAATGCTAAAACCTCAGTGGATGTAATTTATGTGCCATATTGCTGTGAAACACAATTGTTTACTTCTTACCTTTCACTCATACCCACGGTTTCACAGACAAGGCCTAAGCTAGTTCCAGACTAAAATGCATGTTTGAGCTGTTTTAACTGAAATATCTTAAAATATGTATGCATCTCAAGATGCACACCAGTAATGTGTTTTTTTCTAAGGCACGTTTATAAAAGCTACTTAAATGCCGTAGTTGAACTAAGGCCTTATCCTGGCTTAATCTAAGCCCTGTCTGTGAAACCAGGCCTTAGAGTTTAAAATAAAATTACTGAAGTTAAAATGGTGAAATTCTCCATTCTGCCAATTTTATTTACTTTAGTTACTGTTTTTAAGAGTTCGACTGGATATTTTGACCTTTTTTTTTTTTTTTTTTTTTTTGGGTTCCTAAAGCTGAATTAATTGGATACTAATTACAAAGCCATGATTTCAGACTTATTTATCACAAAATAGGGTATCAGTGGTTTGGAAGTGTTGAGGTGTTGCAGCTGGCTGCACTCATGTGATCATTGTGTTATTACCAACGTTATATATTGTGTTGTTTCAAGCACAATCCCTTTATTCGTTATAAATTATTGTTGGGTACACTACCAGGATTTATTTTGAAAACTCTTCTAAGACATTTTGAATGTCATTTATCAGTGCAAAAAAAATGAAGTGTATCTCTATTATTGAGTAAATTGTTTTTAAAAATGTATCTGCAATAACTGTTATGACCAGCAGGTGGTGGTGGAGAGTTGGATCATAGGACTACTGTATGTCTGTACAAGGCATTTATCTTTTCTTTTTGACACCTGCCATGTAAATGATTTGTAATTTCCGGAATAGTTGATGAATGTAATTTTCATCACAAACAAGTGATCAATGTTTTGTAATAATTAAATCCGATGCCATATTTTTAAACAAATTTTCATCATAATTTATTTTGTGAAATGTTCAGTGTGTAGCCTGTCCCAGCATGATCTGTAATAATGGACAAATAAACAGTTTCACTTACTTAAGTGTAGTTTGCTTGTATGTACTATTTTGTGTATTGAGCCTCTTAAATATTGTTCACAAATCTGTCTAAATCTGTGTTAGTGAGCACTTCTCCTTTGCCGAGATAATCCATCCACCTCACAGGTGTGGCATATCAAGATGCTGATTAGACAGCATGATTATTGCACAGGTGTGCCTTAGGCTGGCCACAATAAAAGGCCACTCTAAAATTTGCAGTTTTATCACACAGCACAATGCCACAGATGTCGCAAGTTTTGAGGGAGCTTTCAATTGGCATGCTGACTGCAGGAATATCCACCAGAGCTGTTGCCCCGTAAATTGAATGTTCATTTCTCTACCATAAGCCATCTCCAAATGTTTGGCAGTACATCCAACCGGCCTCACAACCGCAGACCACGTGTAACCACACCAGCCCAGGACCTCCACATCCAGCATCTTCACCTCCAAGATCGTCTGAGACCAGCCACCCGTCCCGGACAGCTGCTGCAACAATCGGTTTGCATAACCAAAGAATTTCTGCACAAACTGTCGGAAACCGTCTCAGGGAAGCTCATCTGCATGCTCGTCGTCCTCATCGTCCTCATTCGTCGCCGTAACCGACTTGAGTGGGTAAATGCTCACAATCAATGGCGTCTGGCACTTTGGAGAGGTGTTCTCTTCACGGATGAATCCCAATTTTCACTGTACAGGGCAGATGGCAGACAGCGTGTATGGCGTTGTGTGGGTGAGCGGTTGTGGATTGAGTGGCCCATGGTGGCGATGGGGTTATGGTATGGGCAGGTGTATGTTATGGACAATGAACACATTTTGAATGCACAGAGATACAGTGACGAGATCCTGAGGCCCATTATTGTGCCATTCATCCACGACCATCACCTCATGTTGCAGCATGATAATGACGGCCCCATGTTGCAAGGATCTGTACACAATTCCTGGAAGCTGAAAACATCCCAGTTCTTGCATGGCCAGCATACTCACCGGACATGTCACCCATTGAGCATGTTTGAGATGCTCTGGATTTGCGTATACGAGTGTGTTCCAGGTCCTGCCAATATCCAGCAACTTCGCACAGCCATTGAAGAGGAGTGGACCAACATTCCATAGGCCACAATCAACAACCTGATCAACTCTTTTGCACTGCGTGAGGCAAATGGTGGTCGGACCCCCGCCCCCCCCCACCTGTGCAATAATCATACTGTCTAATCAGCATCTTGATATTGATTAGACTTATATTGATTAAGATTTATATTTTGAATAAATGCTTTTCATTTTAACTTTTTATTCATCATCAATGAATCCTGAAAAAAAGGTATCACAGGTCCAAAAAAAAACAAAAAACTGTTTCCAACATTGATAATAACTGAGTATCAAATCAGCATTAGAATGATTTCTGAAGGATCATGTGACATTGAAGACTGGAGTGAATAGGTTATAAAAAAATAATCTTCTCCATCACAGAATAAACTAATATTTTAAAGCATATTAAAATAGAAAACCATTATTTTGAAAAATAATATTTCACAATATTACTGTTTTCTCAGTATTTTTAATGCAGAAAATATATGTAGATTTGATGAGCATAAGAGACTTCTTTCAAAAACATAAAAAAATAGTAATGTTTTCAAACTTTTGATCAGAAACTATATATATATATATAATAGGCTACGTTTTGCTCTTAATGCCAGACACTGCCTATTGTTTATCAATATATAATTTGTAAAATATTATGATTGGGAGCTTTTAAAATAATATTGCTAATTGTATAATGTTTTTTTTTCTCTTGCATCGCATTAAAACATCATTATTTCGCTTCCATGTTCTAAATAATGTTCTCCTGTAATGTAATATATATATATATATATATATATATATATATATATTACTAATATTATTACTAATATTACATTAGTAATAATATATATATATAATATAGTAATATATTACTAATATAGTAGTAATATATATACATATATTACATGATGTTGATATATAGCCTAAGTGAAGTAGCATCATTTTATTTATGTTGTGTTAATAAGACACTTTAATAAAACCTTTTTTTTTTGTTATACGTAGGCCTACTCTTTACATTATTCATTTATTATCGGTAACATGGGTAGTCACTGTACATTATGAATGAACAAATATTGGTTACGCTTATGTCAATATTAATATTCATAGATTAAAAAGAGAGATGTTTTGCATCACTGCGATGATGATGTGCTGCGCGCTCTCCGTCATTGGCTCGTGCAGCGCACGCCACTGATCCTGCGGTAAAGATGGCGGCGGCGGAGGGGGCGCGCAGCGGCTGGAGCAGAACGGAACGACCCCAGACGGGTTCGTTTTAAGAGAAACGGTGCTGGGGGGCAGGAGAATCCTACATTCCCGCTTAACAGAGCCGCTTATCCGGTTTAGTAGAATTGTACGATTAGACAGTGTGCTGTTAGGTGTTAGGTGTTGGGTGGGTTCAATCGCTCTCTCCCATACACACACACACACACAGAGAGATTGCTAAGCTAAGCTAACAGAGTTCGGTCCGGTCCGGTAGAAGAGAAGGAAGAGGAGGAGGAGGGGTGACCAAGAAAGGGAAGACAATCATCCCTTGAAGAACAGGCCGTCGTCCCGCGGTTCGTTCGTTCGTTGTGGGATGTGAGCGGTCCAAACGGACGGCGGGTCTTTCCACAGATCTGTGTTATTTTCCCACCCAGAACACTCGCAGGATGGGACAACAGGTAGGCCGCGTGGGAGAAGGGGCTTCCGCTGGGATTCAGACCCCACCGCAGGGGCAACAGCAGCAGGGCAGATCGAACCGGGCCAGCAGCTCCGGGAGGAGACCCCGAGACTGCAACATCACAGGCACGCCACCGGGCAGAACTGCCGCCGCTGCAGCGAACATCATGCCGGATCCAGGGATCAATGTTTTCACCCTGCACTCAGGTATGAGCCCATTCAGCTGGTCATTTCGCAGGGTTCTCCCTTTGAGTCACTTGCAACATGCAAATCATAGTCGGTAAAATGCGGAGCTGCTGTCCGTTGAGAAGTTGAGATATATCCGTTGGGATAAGCGGAAATACTCCATGACTCGGGCTGTGTTGCAAAATCGAGTGTGTTGCCTATGTAGACAGCGTTATCTTGACACCATGAATGCGTCCAAACACTTCGTAGAAACCATGGCCGTAAACAAGTCTTGAACATTGACATGGACATGTACCGTTAGACTGCTAAAGCAGATCACCCTAAAATGTACCCTTTTAAACCGTTTCATTCTAACTAGACACACAGCAGAGCATAATTGTCTCCCTCAATGTCTGAACAGCTTGTGAGTTTAACATGTGTTTTGTAAATGGTTAAGCATGGTCAGTGTCTGGTCATCTTCCATTTGAACATTTCTTTGAAGAATATGAAGTGTTGTTGTTGCTGTAGGTTCAAACCCCAGTATCGATCCGTGTAGTAGCACCATTGTGCCCATTCCAGGTGGAGTGTCACTGAAATGAGTATTGTGAGGCTCTGATTGGATAAAAGCATCAGGCAAATGACAAGTTTGTTTACTGTCACTTATAATGATCCAAAACATACTTTTGAGATGTATCAGTGTTATTGACAATGTTTACACGCACATCATCTTTTTAGGATTCATGTTCTGGTTAACTTTATTTATTTTCTTGTAAAAATTGTTTAAATGCTCCACAGCTATTGAGATATTCCTGCAGAAATATGTAATATGAGCAGATTCTGCTTCTTATTCACAGAATATTTATGTTGCATGTAAACACGGTTGCTATTCTCATTTTATGTAACTTTACACAGCTGATTTAAGGCTGCCCCGTGCCTGCTCAAAACTCGGCACAAAGGCATAATGCTGCATTACACCCAAACTGACTTCTGCCTGCTCTGACCCACCTTACACACCCTAGTATGAAAGTATACTCTTACAATTGCATTTATGCTATCTCACTCTGAGCAACATTACTCACTCTGTATAAACAGGGCTCCAGACTAACTTTTTGCCTTTGTTGCACTGGTGCGCCTAACTTTTTTATTTAGGTGCACCAGCACAAAATTTAGGTGCACCCAAATGTTTCCTCGGCTCGCGTCGCCTTTAACGCCACAATTTCAAGCTCAGCTTTTTATCATGCTCCATATACATGTCATGCATATATCCAAATTGGTCGCACTCTAGAGCCCTGATAAAGACACCTAAATGCTACTTCAGAACTGTGTAAATTTGGCATTTGATGTTGAGGATTGTGTTTTTTTAAGGGCAGTAACTCAACTGAGAAGGGGAAGTTCAGACACCATACTATCCTAACTGTAGAAATGCGATGACTGTTATTTGATAGGGCTGGCATTTATTGTCTCTTATGAAGCACTTGCTGCTGGGGAAGCCACTGCTTTCTCGGATTTCGCTCGCTCGATTTCACTGACTCATTTGTTTCAGGCAGTAACACAAAGCACATATTTGATCTTAATACTGTTTGTGTGTCACACAGATTTATCTTTTCTTAAATCTCATAATCAGGTGTTGTTTATTGTGAGTATTGTGACTGTGGCACAATGGTTGGGATTTCATTAGATGTGTGGTTTGCACTGCAAGGGAGTCGAGAATAGGGTTGGGTATCTATCGTTTAAATTTTAGCGTTTCCGATTGCAATTCTGCTTACAGATTCCGATTCTTTTAGATTCCCAGTTTCGATTCCAGTATGGTAAAACATTTATTTTGTGTCTTTTGTTGAAAGTTGAGCTTCCATAGAAATGTGAACTGAAAAATTCGAACTTCGAATTAGCGATTTAAAAGCGAGGTGCAATAGAGAGAAAAACTCAGTGTTGGTCTGTTCTCCAGGGTGGGTTGATCCATGCCAAAGAGGAGCTTGTCACATCTTGACAGTGAACCCTTCGGCTGGAAACACTGACATGTGAGGGTTGCAGATGAGTTATTTTTACTCTCATCCCTTATAGCCAGATGTATAGCTGTGGCTGAAAGTCATCTGAATAAGCAGGATAATAATTGCATGGTTACAGGCCTGACTGTCATACCAGTGGTGACTAACTGCCATGATAAACTTCATCAGACACACCTTATTTCAAACACTGGAGGCTAGAACATCTTATAATGTCTGATCTCCAATCATATGGCCTTGGTCACATTTTGTTGTTTTATCTGTAAATTCGCTTTGTCTCAGAGTGTTAGAGCCTCAACTGTAAGGTTAAAGCGATAGCTCACCCTAAAATGAAAAATATGTTGTTGCCTGTTGGTTGGTTACTCGACCTAATGTTGTTTCTGTAATGTATGCTCTGAGTTTTTCCGGTAACACTTTACAATAAGGTCTAATTTGTTATGAATGAAAATATCTGACTTCCGGCAACGATCTCGCCCAGGGGCGTTCGTTCTACGTCACGACGGTTCCTACGCTACGGTCCTACCTCGTACGCCGACTTCCATCACCCGTGAACGCGCGTCGATCGTTGCCGGAAGTCAGATATTTTCATTTATAAAGTTTTAAATATGTATATTTTTACGTCAAAACCGCACGGATTACCCTCAGAAGGCCTTCGTTTATCCCCCTGGAGCCGGATGGATTACTTTTGTGAAGGATGTACCGTAATTCCTCAAATAAAGGCCGGGGCCTTTATTTACCTGAACTGCAGATGGTAGCCGGCTTTTATTTGAAGCAGGCTTTTATTAGAGGCAGGCCTTTATTTCTAATTCGCGATCCCCGCCCGCCCGCCAGCCAAGTTTCCATGGTGACGCGTCATGCTTGGCACGTGTTCACCACAGCCAAAATAGCGCTATATGACAGATGTAGCGCTTTTATTTCTAAATATTAACAAACTTGCTTACCATGTCATCAACTATCTTCTATTCTGACTCTCAAATCCGTGTAAGTGAGTTTGTTTTGTCGTTTAAAACCCTTTATAAATGATCTTGATCTGTAACGTGAGATGGGCACCGCAGTTCGGAGATTCCTGTTGTATTTGTTAAGTTACAGCGCGTGAATTCTTCAGTTTCTCCCGAAATACATGAAAGTAAGTGGCCGGTGAACTGGGAGAAGAATAGAGTAAACTTTATAGTTACTTACACTGTGTATCTGATATGAATAAAACACGTCGCCAAATATATTTGAATGGATTGTTATTGCTGCTTCCATAGACACCATTGTGTATTTTACAAACTATAAATTTATTGTTTTGCTATAAATCATATCTATTTAAATGTCTGAAACCTAAAATAAACATGTGGTTAAAAACACTTAATAGTTGTGATATATGACAAGCGCTGAGCGCGTCCGTCTTTGAGTGTACATTCATTTAAAGTGTCCCTATTCACACTATTTTTTCCCCGGCCTTAATTTGAGACCGGCCTTTATTTGTCCGCGTTGAACACGCCCCCGGCCACTATCAGAGGCCCGGCGTTTATTTGAATACCGGTCTTTATTTGAGGAATTACGGTATGCACATTTTGGGACTTGAAGGAGGTGGACCCCATTGCTTCACATTATATCCACTGAAGGGTCTAAGACATTTTCTAAAATAACTGAAAATGTGTTCGTCTGAAACAAGATTGACATATGCATCTCGAACGGCTTGAGGGTGAGTAATGCATGGGTTAAATATCATTTTTGGCCGAACTATCCCTTTAAGGAGGTAAAAAGGTGTTGATTTACACAAGAGGAATTTTAACCAAAGTATGTTACAAACTTTACACTAAGACCTAAAAGAATCATACCAACTCGTGGAAAATGGACATCCGATGATGACCCCATTAAGTTTTAGATGAACTGTTCCTTTTAAAGCTGCTGTCCGTAGCTTTTTTGGGTTAAAAATTATCCAAAATAATAATAATTAAAAAAAACATAACCAGCCAGTGTTCAAAAATATCTGCTTGCTTTTGCCCGATTCAAAACGGTTAGCTTGTAATAATGATTTTAATTCCAGTGGTACTGGTGGATTTCCGCGGGAAATTCGAGCATGTCTTTGCGTCATTACGTCACATCTGTACACATAAAGAAGGCGTCCCGGCTAGTCGGCTATATTGCGTGAGGATGTTGGAGGTGGACATTTTTAGCCTTTGCTCACAGCATTAAATAATTAAACTTATGGCGGATCCAGAAAGGTTCAAAAGACAATCACCAGTGACAACTGGACATTCACCACTTGTAAAACCCCAAATAATTCGGACTTCGGAGTGGGTAACGTTAGAGAAAAAAGAGACTGCAACTGGCCCACGCGAAAACAAGGATAAACATCGGTTCAAAACGGACGCAGAGACGGCTTTTTTTCTTTTAGGACAGGTAAGACATTTCAATAGTTCAATCGTGTAACAGTAGCACACTTGTTCGCTTAATTCACACAGTTACGGAGTTTCCTGTCTTTATTCGTTTAGCTATTATGGTAAATATTTTGTGCTAGCTATGAGAGGGAGCAATTCACCTCTACTCCAAGCAAACCAAACCGGCCTCCTCCGAAATTATATATAGTTTTAAATATGCTTCGGATTACAGATACGTGTTTTTTTTTTGTTTTTTTTTTTTCTCAAAGAAAACCAGTAAAGAAACATTAATTTATTGGTATGACAATTAGAAATTAGACTGCACAGAAATAGAAACTGAACTACAGGGTAATCATAATACACATTAAATGTAGTCACAATGCTGATGTTGATAATTTGAGAACAAAGTATAATTTGAAAGGTTTGACGCGATCGTTATATTTAATCAGCACGATTTACTGCAAGGCTTTCCCCCCTTAGTTGATGTGGATGTTACTTACTTGTTCAGATGACATTTTCCGATGAAAATTCGTATGTTGTCATGGTCATACTGTAGGCCTACTTCCAAAAGTAGAATGTGTGATTCTGAATGCCAGTTTCCACATCGGCGCGGTGACTGACAGACTCGCAGTCTCAAAACATTGTGTTCATCCGCGCTGTTTCATGCCGA